CGCGACGGACACGTACAGCGCGCCATCGTCAGACCTGCGAAGGAGGAACGAAAAGGTAGGCTTTAGCATGGGACACAAAGGAAAAGCAACATAGAATCAGATGAGAAGCACATTCTGGAGAGGAAAAAGAAGAAGAAGAAGAAGAAGAAGAGGAAGAAGACAATTGGATGTGGGTGGATTTCATTTCGGCAGTTGGCTGTCTCCGCCCTTATAAGCTATGGGACACTTGTGGACGCGCATTGAACCAACCAGAGCGCATCTCTTCTCCGACACTATAAATAATGGATGTATCAAAATAGCTGCCTACTCGGAACCTCCGGATGTAAAGAAAAGTACTTATGTAGTTCAATTGCGGATATTTGTCTATTCTCAAATGTAGATATGAAGAGAAATGATCAATACTTTCCCCAAACTCCAAGACCTACCCCATGATACCCAAAGCAAATGCAAGACCCATTAATCATGTTTTCTTCTTCTTCCTGACCAAGCTCGAATTGAGCACATTGACCCCTGCCAGCTCTGACGGAGCTGGTTGCGCATCTCCCGATTCACTTGGTGCTTGGGTTTCATTCACAACGGGCGTGTTGCCCTCGCCCAATGACTTCTTTCGCTTGCGGACCAGTCCAAGATCAAGCACGTTGTTGATATTGGTATTGGCAGGCGGGGCAGTAGCGCTGCTAGTAGTATTGCTGCCGACAACCTTCTTGCCCCATGTAAGCTCGTCCGCGAGGGAAGAAACTTGGTCAACGTAGACTCTGGTACTGGCGACGACTTCTTTCTCGTCATAGAAATGGTCTAGAACTGAATCCATCATCTTTTTGTAGTCTGCTTCGCTGAGAACGACTTGTCCGCGTCCGGCCTCTGGCCAGTCGAACGGGTTGGCAGTGCTAGATCCATCATCCCGGGGAAGTTTGGGGGACGTATCGGCGGCCATGGAAATTGTTGTTGCCTTCGTCATGGTGGTGGTTTCTTCGGGCTGGCTAGAGCCATTATTCACTTTCTGCTCGTTTGGAATGGCCCCAGAAATCTCTGTTCCGTTCAAGACTAGGCCGTTGTCAGAGGAACCGCGTGTTTGGCTTTCCATTGACGTCGAGTTCATCAGCCCAGGAGGATTGATGACCAACCACAGAAAGCCGACTAACCGACCAGCAGAACATTCTTGGCGGAAGGACATCATCTCCCAGAATTGGTCCAAGGACCGTACGCTGCGCCAGCGTCCGGAATTAGGGGCGTCAGGCTGGGCTTCATTCTCCCCAGGAAGTTCATCGTCTAGGTCGACGAGGAAACGAGTCTTGGGATCATCGGGGAAACGAGGCACCAAGCAGCGGGGAGGAGCCGACGGGTCGTGGTACAATTGCTTCAGTGGGTAGCTGTTAAGCCACCGTGGGCGATCCTGCGCGTCGTTCTTGACCGTAGGCGGGAAGAAATTGCGTGTTTCAAAGCGGTCGCAGCTTGGAACGATCAGGTATGCGGTAGCAGAGGCCTTGGCAGCTTCGACTGTTTGATCCAGCGCTTTCGGCTCTTGTAGATTAGACTCTGGCTCATGCTCCCGTAAAATCGGATCTAGAACACGACACCACCACTTGATTAGGCCTCGATCGTCAAGAACGTGCTTTTCGGCATTCTCAATGCTGCCCGGGAACAGGTACTGATTCTGGGCGCGGGCGAACAGCGACACGACCAGACGTACACCTGGCCGTTGGCGGGTTCGAGCCAGAAATGAGAGAAATGTATTGGAGACCAGTCTCAGGATGGACACCTTGCGTGGCAATTTTAGGAGATGCAGGAGTCCAGTCGAGTCGGCCTTGGAGATGAAGATGGTGGTCAAGTGGGCCGTGTTGTAGACTAGCACCTCCATTCCAAAGATAATTGTCTCACCATCATCGTTGGGGTCAATTGACACTGAGAGGAAATGATTTTCGCAGAACGTCGGCTCGGAGACCTGGCCCGGCGCAGCTGCAAAGAGAGCTTCGCACGGAGTGGGTGTTGAGGAGACATGGCGAACGGTGATCTCAACCCCGGTGGGGAGCACCTTGGCCAAGAGATCGGCCAGATCTGCCTCCATTCTCGTTCGTCCAATGAGAGTCATGGAAAATGTGAAGAGAGGAGCTGGAGATCGCGGTGCTCGATTTGGCGCCCTTGGAGATCACGTGCCAGGAACATATACTGCCGCTTCAGGAAGGTCGATTTGTCGAGATTCAGAGCTCTTTGATCGGGTTAATTAACTAGATGGTAGTGAGGTAGCAAAGGTTTCAGCAATGGGATTGAGAGCAGATACTTATGCAGACTACCTGAAAGAATATATGAAAGGTTTGCAAGAGATGACACTTGCCTACGAGCATGTTTGCTAACCTTGGAACGCCTGATATTAGCCAATATGTGATGTTCGGAAGTGTTGTATCTCTATCCTCTCACCAGTTCTCCCACTTTCACCAATTTTCCTCACGCTCGAACGCAACTTAACCCAATCACTCAACCAAACCACTCGTGGAGACAAGCAGAACCAAAGATACCACTAGAGGTAAGCAGGACTAATCAGATTAATTTTTTATTAAGCAGACTAATTATATTAATATTTCATCGAACATGAAAGCACGCCTTCAAGTGTAACAGAGCCGCAACCTGGTCACGCCGAGAGCACCTATCAAGATGTCTCACAGAACCTCTGGAGACCTCATAGGTAAGCCTGAATTTGTTACCTCGCTGTGCAGAAAACGTCACTGATCACGCACTTCAGTGCCCGACCTCGACGCGCAGGATGTTTGCATCCAGTTGCAGATCCGTTACGCCTGTGGTCACTCGGCAGGCGGCGAGTTCATTAAATGCCAACGGCACATGGACAAAGAGGACGAACGCTGCGTTGGCCGCCAAATCAAGCACATCGACGTCAAGAATTCACCACACAAGTGTCGCCTATGTCTGCGAAGTGAATGAGACATGGTATGGTGGCTATTCGGCAGGAGTTGATGAAGGGCTTTATCTTGGAAGTCTGGGGAAGGGCGAAGACGGCTCATTAAGGCACATACGATTATCACATTGACAGGGAAGCCGGTACTTTCTATCTTTGAATCAAGGAGAACCCTGAAACGAACCGACCAGGGTTGTTAAACTAAATCCCAGTTAAAGACCCATGCGAGGGGAATAAATGTACTCGAGTGCATAAGTGACTGTATGGCCTTGAGGTCATTTCCGAGGCCTCATGTTACTTAAAAGTAAGACGCCACAGCATCTAGATCATCGACATTGAGCAGAATGACCCCTTCCCTCAAAAGAGTCCTCCAGACAAGGTTTCGTGCACGGACCGGGAAGTACGGCGTGTTCCAATATCTCGCACCAATCCCGCGCTCATTTGCGGTGGCAATCTGGTCTCGGAGAGCTTTGAGCTGGTCGTCTAAGAGGATTGGGTCCGTATCGACAGTTATCTTGCCGACGGCTTCCTGGAAATCGGTTGAAGCGACAGGCGAGACAACGCCAGTTACATCAGCGTATTTGGGATTTTTGAGATCCGCGAGAGGCGCATCGAAAAAGTAGTCTCGGTCTTTGACGGGCGCAACCATGTCGAACGGTGTCTCTCCCGTGCCAATGACAGTGACGGGTCCATTGGCAACGGTCTTGCCACCCCTGACGGTAGTAAGATAGCCCTTCTCTCGTAGAGGTTCTAAAGCATCAATTACAGCCTCGAACGTCTCGGGACCGGACGTCTTCACATCAATGAACAAGTAAAGCGTTTGGTCGGGAACAGTATCCCACACGCCACTGTTTCAACAAAGCATTAGCAGTGAGACGATATCGGGTCCTGGCCAGATACTCACTTTTTAGTACGTGATGATATAAATGGACTATCGGGATTCTGGCGCTCCAGGACGTCCAGAATGGGATTGATATACAAGGATTCCAGAGTTCGTGACTCCGTCAGGGCAGATTCATCGTGACCAACCTTGTTTAGTTAGTATGGTGACCAGAAGAACGGCAAGACATCATAGGTTAATCAAACTCACATAAAGTGTGCCGTTGTATAGCCAAACATCAGCTTCGGTGGACATGCAGCCATGCGAGAGACCTGTGCATGGTAATGTTAGGGTTAATGAGACTTTAGGCACTAGAGCTCCGACATACCGGTATAGAAAGGCTCATCTCGCCAATAGTCACTTTTGGTATAATCAGTATATGGTCAATAGGAGTGAGACTATGAGAATTATCCGTACTTATGAGAATGAACAGGGATCTAGACATTCGTGGCCCCAAGGGTTAACAACATTGCCCAGACGGTGGAAAGCTCCTCAGGATTCATTGACATATATTATCATAAATAGACTCACAGGTAAGAGGTCTCTTGTTAGATCGGTGGGATATCCATATTCTTTGCTGCCGTGAGTGTTTTTCAAGATGCTCTGTAGGGTAGAGGGGATCGCCGCAACGGCTGGATCCGGACCCGCGAGGAGAGCCACAACAACGGCAGAGAGGAATAACATGAAGGCAGAGAGCATTAGCTGACGAAGTTAGTCAAGTAATTGATCCTCCTTCATGTATCGAGCTGGAGTTGAAAGAACGTGGAATTCAATTGACTGAATCGAAGGAGGCAAATTGCAATGACGATCGGAACTCAGACTCACGCACGTGTCTGTCCAAGGGGCCAATATCCATCCACGACCATAACGTCGAGGTGGAATATTTTATGAGTTGAATACATAAGAAAACAGGGTCGATCATTGAACCCATTATTATCTATCATATGGTCGATTTCTTGGCCATTAGAAAAAGAACACCCAAAATGGTACTCAAAATGCAAGGCCAATTAAGACCTGGTCGTAGTGGTTGTTTACTGGAGAGCCTACAAGAAACCAAGAATAATAATGTAGGGTATTTGGCCATCAATGCCAGAAGTTGCTAAAAAACATAAGTCGCCAGACTAGCACAGCCATCCAGGGAGCTCGAGGGCGGATGACAGCGAGGTTGCCGAAGAAGCGGTCAGGTTGTGAAATGAAATCTATGTACGTCACGGATATATGACCTTAAACCTCTCGTACGCTTGGCGAAGACACGGCTCCGGAGTCTTGTGAGTTCCGACCTCGAAGGCTGAGGTTTCCAATGCGTTGGACTAGGTTGCTGCCCACAGCATCAACTGCACCCTTGGGCGCCAGCAAAGTCGGGCCTTGAGCGGCAGCTTCTTGGACTCTGAAGAGTTTAATGGCTGTGCCGTTCCAGACACCAACGGTTCCTGGAGTCGCACCAGAAGCGGAACCGACTACCATCTCGCTGGAGAAGATGAAGCCCCACAGCAGCGATTCGTACCAGCCCATGGAAAGTGCAGACCACTCGAATGATTGCACGCGAACCGGGGTCGGTTCGGAGATTATGCTTTTAACCTCGGGCTCATCAGCAAATGATGGGAGATTGTGAACTAGTGTTCGGGCCTCCGGGCTGGCTGCGCTTACAAGCGCTGCATCAGGTATATGAGGTGCAATGGCTGAGATGATGGTGAGGATCGTGTGTAAAGGAAGCTCGGGCAACCAAGACTCGAGCTGGGAGATATTGTTAGTAGCGGAACATTTAATGGAAAGGTGGTGCGGTCTGCAGAGACTTACCCATGGGACGGTTGGTGTGAAGCCACTAGCAGAGGGGGTGAATAAAGCAGACATGCTTGTCTGACTGGTCATGCTGTTCTGTCGGGAGAAAGGAGGATGTCCAGCAGGTTTCTTTCCCCGTGCCTTTTCGGACATTGCTCGCACCTGCTGCACTCCGTTTTCGTCCGTGGTAGATGTCATGGAGGGTCTCCGTGAGGTTTGAGCCGAGAATGATGATTGAGACGGGGTCTGTGCTCCCTCTTCCTCACGCTCATCATCGGAGTCGTCATCGCCAATTGCAAATGGACTGTTCTCTTCGGGGATTCTAGTCAATGGTGACCGGGCGCCCGAAGGAGTGTGTAGATCATCCTCTGACTGTGAGAGTGTAGGGCTGACGGCAACATCCGAAGAACTGCCAGCTTTTCTCTTCTCATTCTGCCGCTCGATCTCTTGCTGGCCACTCTCAAGAGTGAAAGCCCGCACAGCTTCAAAGCGTTGTTTATATTTCAGTATCGAGTAGACGAGATATGGGTTGTCTAGATAAGTCAGAAACGGCTTGCCGGAAAGAGCAGATCCGGGTAGGGGATTTACCGGTGAACTTGTGCTCGAGGATGATGTTGACGAAGTCAAGCAATGATGCAAGAAGAGTATGGTTGGTTTCGTTCGCCAACAAGAAACTGGGCGAAGACATAGAAGTGAAAAGTTGAATGACCTTCGAGCAGGCACTTGGAGAGATGCGTTCGATATAGGGAGCAATGTTGTTGAGGATGATCAAAAGTGCGGGATACACAGTGTCAAGATTGCCCTTGCTGGTTGTCATCAACGTGTGAATCGACTGCGGCGGTTAGTATGGTATTATGCTTTTAGATGGGGCAAAAGACAAACCATTATCAAATAGTCGCCATAAGACCCCCGGAACTTGAGTAGCCGGATTGACTGTGGTAAAGTCTCTTGAGCTTCGAAGCTGTTGTTTAGGCTCTTGGAAAACGTTGGCTCCGCGCTCATTGTCTGAAGGATGAAAACACACATCCGGACGACTCCTTGTTTGGAAGCATCCATTCTATACTCCATAGCATAGAAGATACATAGAACAAGGAAGTCATGGGAGCGGTTAGAGTCGATGATAAATGACCGGAACCTCTTGTTGCATTGTAAGGTCTCCCAGAAGAGGACCAACATCTCAGGGGCCCATTTCACCGATCTTTGACTCCCAGGAAGATAAGAAGCAGTAGCTTGCATCTGGTTTAGTCAATTAGCACGACATCGTCATATATAGTTTCGCAGAGCATAGATACCGGCTGATTCAGAATTCTGGTCATGCCATCCACCAGGAATTGGAAGTCTTGAGGTCTGTGTAGCCTGCCGAAGTAATGGCGATAATAATTCTTTGGTGGAGTTCCGCGACCGTCTTCTGGAATGGGATACATCAAGAGGACAAGGAGAAGTTGCACGCAATAGATCACCAATATCTGCCTAGGATCTTTCCAAACAACATGGTCGTACGGGACCCTCCACGACGCAGGGTTATACTTCATTGCCTGTTTTGAATTAGTATGGCTCTCACCACTTATTGAGTGAAACATACTGTATTGAGAAGAGAGCAAAGGACGGTCAAGACAGCCTGCTTATCTTGGCACGTTGTGATATAAGTAATTGCCTTGACGCCTTGGACGGGCAATGTATCTATACTAGTCAGTAAATGTTGGAATAACTTGGTTGCATCAGACTCCAGACTCACTAGATGGCAAATACATTGCCTTTCCAGTCAGAGTAAGCATAAGCCGTAGAATCTCGCATCGGTTGCTCTCGAATGTCTTGTTGGACCCCATAGCCGTGTTGCAGCCAACACCACTCTGCCAAATTGAAAAAGAGACCTTGCTCTTAACAGTTGGAAGTCGAGGGATTGTGAAGTCGGCAAAGAAGAGCAAGTCCACCAATGTGTCTATCAACTCCTCGGCAAGAGGCTTCACATCTTCGTAATCCTCTGCGCGCGGTGATGTCGCTTCTTGGTTATCCTCTGGTTGTGCTTCGTCAAAGAGGACCTCTCCAGCAATCTGTGATTGCCTGGTTCTTTTCCTTCGACGTGCCCAGAAGAAATTATCCTCCCATTGCTCCAGATGTTCTGCCTCGTAAACATAGGGAAGGAGGCGAGTGAGGATTCGAATGCAGTTGAGGACATCACGCTCTGGGGCAAGATCGGGGTCGGGAAACGAGGGATGATTTTTCAATACCGTTAGCCGGGATGTGACTGCGAGTAGGAGTGTTTGGAAGTTGGGCAAGGCATGATCACGCGTGCGTCGTATGTCAGCCGGTGTGAAAAGGCTAAAGACATCTTCGGTTGATTCAGGAAGCTCCCAAAACTGCCAGCGTGGTTAACCTCCAAGTCTATAGGACAGATAGTCATTTCGTATCAGAACGTACTCTGGTCCAGTAGGGGTCGTCTGCGGGAATCTCCTGTTCCTCCGAGAGGCGGAAGATGCCTTGTTTGAAGACAAGCTTGGACTCCGAAGCTCCCATAGCGGAAGGAAGCTGGTGATCACACCGTTGTGGGCTTCATGCAGATTTACAGCAAACGTCAGTGTGTAGGGGAGGTTAGGGCGCTTTCTGCCTGTTTATTTGCCAAGTGCTAGAAGTGGTTGGTGGTCCTAATTGTCCGGGCGCGGGATCTTGGCCGGAACACGGGGTATGGCAGATCGGCCGATTGTCACCAGTACGACTTACAGGGAAGTATTCCGTATATGATGAGAGACTGAATAGTTGATTGTCTGATATAAATATCCTGTATTTATTTTCTTACAATCTAGTCGCATGTGTCGAAAGGCACTTTTACCATCCATACATACTACGTAGGACGGAAAAGATATCCAAGAGCGCCCCGACAACACAATTATCGCTAGTTAACGAAAGAACCTCGTAATAATAAACCTCGAATTGGTATCCTTGTAATACATTGTGAATGAAAGAACCGCTATGACATCGAACACCAAAACCATGAATGACCCAAGCGCCAGTCCGCGAAATTGTGCTGAAAACTGCAAAAGAATCAGGGAGCTCCTCCACTGGCCGAAAGCCGCCGACTCCTCTCATACAGCCACTTGTTCTTGACTCCTAGGCTTCCGCGTTTTCCCATGAGTGGAGAAGGCGTGCTTGGGGCCATGCTCATGGTTGACTCCCCGAAGGAGTTACTTCGAGCCAGAGGGGATGCGGATCCAAAGCTCTGGCGCTGGACAGATTCCCTGCCCCCATTTGACATCGCTTTGTAAAGCAGAGGGCTGGAGGCAGGTGAGAAGGGTGTGCTGATAGAAGAGCGCCGCTCAGAAAAGCTTGCATTTGCGGACAATGGGGAGGACTGTCTGCTTGCAGGACTGGCCTTGCGTGAAGTGGAAAGCCGGTATCTGGGTGGGGTGACGAATGTTGTCCCAGGCGTTGCTGGTGGTGTGGCAGCAGGATCCAAACCAAGAAGTGAGCGTTGGGTGGGGGTAAGGGGAATGTCGGAGAGGTCGTCCTTTGGCCGGAAGAGGGGGTAGAGCGCCACTAGAATATTGAAAACGAAGAAGAGCTGGAGAATCAATAACGCGACTTCTTGATACGTATGGTTGGTATCAAAGATTCGGCGTGAGCTTAAATGAGGCTGTTAGCACGCGACGCAACGCACCGGAGTTCTGATCGCACTCACTAGGCTTTCAAAGTTGATCCAAATGTCCAGCTCGTTATCAAAGCTGCGCCGTTCCAAACCAGCTTCTTCACATTTTTCTGATCAAATGTGGCTGCATTTTGGCGCCGGACAATCTCATCCAGCTGAGGGTGTCGCCATTTTCCAGGGGTCAGGGTACCCTCCGGGGTGGGAGGAGCCACCTGAGGTGTCGCTTTCGGGGTGGAGGGAAGAGATTGAGTCGCCATTGCTAAGGTGATGAAGATAATGCCGACGGTGGAGATCAAGATGCAATTGACTCGAGACTGGAATCTTGAAGTCAGCCACCGATCCGTAGGTGCTTAGACTGTTTTTTTTCGAGGTCTTTTTGAAAATAGGGATTGGACTCACCGATGTTATGAACTTATTCAGTACTTACCTGGGAGGGAACAAACACAAGGAGCTGTCAGTTAGTAAATGCATATAGCTATGAACAATTGTTCTTTCACAAAAGTCGTTAGTGTTGTTGTCTTTACGTTGACGATCCCAAAGTGGCTGCGCTCGGCGCTCGAGGAAGGGATGGATGTGCGGGCATAAGTTGACCCGGCCAAGCTGACATACCCCTTATCGCCGTGCCCCTCAACGTCATAGTCACTGATTGTTGACACTTCTTCCTATCCAGATTGACGCACTAAAATGGCTGCTGATACTTCACTTGTGGAGAAGCTTGATGCTTTGGTGGCCGATATTCTTGCCGACTGGAATATCTACACTACCATTGTCGCTGGGGCTGTCCTCGCTTTCGCGCTTTACTCTGTCATCTCGTCTCGGGATCCAGATGTGCATCCGTTCCTGCTTGCTCGACAATCGACAGCAGCCCCAATCCGCCAGCAAGGTGAATCTGCTACTTACAGGTGCCTGGAAACCCCGCATGGCTTGCCTCTCCGCTTCGGACTGAACGTCAAGGACCCGGGCGCCCCGAAATGGACTGGCGGTCGAAGAGGAGACCTACGCGATATTTGGAAGACTGCTGTGCGTGGAGCTCTGAATGAAGACGGTACTCTTTCGGGAAAGCAAGGCAAGATCTACACTGTCCTAGGTCGAAAGGCCATCGAACACTCTTTGGACCAGGTAACACAAGAAATCAATGTCATCGGTCATCATCTCCAAAAATCTGGCGCGAAGACGGTAGCTGTTTGCCTTACAGACTCGATCGAGCTTTTAGCTACAATCTTTGGTATGTTTCTTATCATTCCGTGTGTGAGTCTCGATGTCTAACCTTGCGCAATCTAGCTGGCGCTTTCTATGGGTACAAGACGGTCATTGTGCCACACAACCTTCCAGCAGAGACATTGTCAGCACATCTTCAACAGGCAAAAGCGGACGTTCTTATTGCCGAAGCCGGATCTCTCGACCTGCCTCTCATCGTAAAGGGTAACAATCAGTTGTCGCTTGTCCTTTGGGTCGCGAAGTATGGCAATCGACACATGGATTGGAATGCACTTCCCGAGAATGTCAAGGATAGTCTGAAGGTTGCAGTTTGGCATGAACTGGTCGAGGAGTTTAAGGAACTCGCCAGCTATGATGTGCCCGAGTACGACCCAAAGACCGAAACCCCTGCTGTCAACACTGTTTGGCCGTCTTCCTCACAATCCGGCCAATTTATCGATTTCCAGCCAGAGGTAAGACCAGCCCAACCCATGTGATAGTACTCTGTCTAACATTCAACTAGAACCTAGTGTCTGCTATTGGAGCCATAACCTCCACTATCCCTCGCACCCAGCGTTTCAACCCAACCGATATTGTTCTTTCTATCGACTCTCTATCTCGGTCCTACCCGCTCTGCACAACCATGGCAGCCCTGTTTGCCAACTCATCCGTCGCCCTTAATTCTGTCGCTGGAGAGAACGTCGATTTTGCCTTGGCCACAGCTGGCGTGTCTCCCACGGTCATTGTTGCTTCATCGCAAACCATGGCCGAGTACCACGACAATATCATGCGTCCGCACACTGGTATCATTTCCTCTCTTGGACGCTGGCTTCAGGCACGGACTTTGGATGCAGGAAACATGCCGACGCGCAACTTTTTCAGCCAATTGGCTCGTTTCAGCCCGACTTCTGAGCTTTCGCTAGATGAATTGCGCTTGCTTTGCATCTCCCACCGCATTGATGGCAACCCCGCCGCCCATCTTACCTCCGAGCAATTGACCGAGCTTAGAATCTTCACCGGGGCTCGGGTTGTGTATGCCTTGACTGGTCCCGGTGTTGCTGGTGCAATTTCCCAAACAAATGCCTTTGACTACAGATGCCTCACAGGCCCTAGCCACTTTGGCGCTCCACTGAGTAGCACTGAGATCACTCTGATCAATGTTCCCGAAGACTCTCCTGATGGCACTGAAGAGGGACAGGTATGTCAGGCTCAATTCTACTGGTCTCGTATATAACTAACATTGACGTCCTTAGCTCACCGTCTCTGGCCCTGCTGTTGTCGGCGGCACCACCACTCTTCCCGGCCGAGCCCGCATCAGCAAGGACAATACCTTGGAATTGTGTCCCTGAGCGTCTCAACCCCGAAGTGGCCATTTGAAATAGCATTTCCTTAAGAGCGTACTTGAAACGTGAACTGCTGAGAGGGTTGGTAATGAAACTGACCAAACTATTGCGTATATCTGAAGTAGCACCTAGCGGGGTCAGATGTGGCACGAAATAAAATATCTATTCTCTGAAATACATGGCCAGCTCAAAAATATCTGGGAAGTACAGTAATATACATGCCGATGTGGCTCAATCAACACCAAAAAGAAATCACAACAAAGTTCAAGCGTTTTCCTCAACCTCTTGTTTGGGCTTTGTCCCAAGCAATTCCCTAGCCACCTTGTCTCCAAGCACGTCGGCATTCTTGACTTTCTGCAACTGCGAAATCAAGACAGGCTTAAGCTCATCACAGCGAGCCTTGAAATTCCCAGTGTCTTTTGATGCCTTGGTAAACCCAAGGGCCAAACGCATGCCGTTGTAAACGGCCAGGTTCTCCTCGAGTCTCTTAATGTTTTCAAAGCCAGTGGCCGCATCGTCCTTGAAATTTCCTCGGGACCAGGCTGCATCAAGCTTCTGAGCGTAGCCACAGAGTGAGGGCGTGTAGGTCTCGTCGATTTTCGCACAGGCGGCACTGAGTTCCAAAAGCGTACCGATAACGAAAGGCTGGTGTTTGGGGTCTTCCTGGATGTTCCGAACGGAGTGCTCAGCAGCATCCATCAGACTTGCTGCCTCCCTGGCCAATTTCAGAGCCCAGAAGGTTTCCCTCCTCTTGAAGTCGGCTTTGGCGGCTGTTTTGTGAAGCTCGAAGAACAGACGGCGAGCAATGTTCTTGTTGCCGAGAGTCAAGCCGGTGCGCTGGGACTGCCTGGCGCACGCGATAATGGTTGAAAGCTTGTTAGCATCGCTGGTTTTGCGAATGATATACTCCCACCGGTCGCTGTTGATAGCATAGTTAGACATCCGGAGTCCACTGAGATACGGGAAAAGGTTGCTGAAGTCCTGGTTCGCGACCATCATCTTGAGAACCTCGAGAGCGTCTTTCTTCGATGGCAGATCGTGGTGCTTCTTGGGCGTTAGAGTGAACTCTTCGGTCTCGCTGATCTTCACGGTAATCGGCTCATTTTGCAATTGTGTGGCGTATTTCTCCCTGAACACACTCTTTCTCTGTCGCTTGGGGAGAGCAAGGGGTATGAACAGCTCATTACGGAACCGCTCTAGAGCTTCGTCCAACTCGGGGGAGGATGTTGAGGTGAAGGTTGGGATTGCTGTTCCGGTCGTCTCCGATGAGAATTTGATACCATAATGGATATATTAATGCGTACCTGCGTTTGAACCATAGCTGCGGGCCTGCGTCGGTCTCAGAATAGACTGGCGCACCGAGCTGGTGGTGCTCTGGCGGAAGAGCCTGCTCATGGCGAATTGCGCCATTATGTGTGATCAAAGCTATGTATTGAGCGATGCAGGGTATGGGAGTAGGTAGCCAATAAAATGATAGACTTCCCCCAAAGTAAGAACAAGAAAACAAGACTGATTGGTATCCTGGAGTTGGAGGAGAAAAAAGAATCGCTGTTATCTGCAACCCGAACGGGCAACTGAAGGCTTGGCGGAAATTCTGCCGATCCGGCCAAAACTCGACTCCGACTTTCTTGACTTGACATCCTCATCACAACCATGGCGGCTCTACCAGCAATGCGCCCGCTGGGCTGCTTAAGGTCCTTGATGAGGGCTTCAGAGCCTATCCAACCCTTCGTCAACCGTCGATTCATATCGACGGCCTATTCAAAGAGGCCCGAACGGGTACCTCTTCCCCCAAACATGCCTGAGCAATTCCTATCCCAAATACCTCTTCGTTTTCGCCCGGATCCTGGTATGTCCCTTCCATTGAGTAAAACTGACGCGAGCTTTACTAATTATCGCTATCTCATTTAGAGCGCGAGCCCCTCAAGATCTACCCTGCTCCGCCATCTGCTCGCAAAGCATGCAAGGACCCCGTCGGAGCGGTTACCGAATCGCAATTGGCAGTCCTCGACCCCACGGGTGAGCGCAAGGCCATGTTCGACTACCGAAGAAACCCGCGCAGTGTCAAGACAGGCGATATCGTACGGGTGACATTCAAGAACGGCGACCCATTCAACGGCATTGTGCTGAGCATCAAGTTGCGCGGAATTGAAACGTCGTTCCTCATGCGGAACGAACTTACTCGAGTTGCTGTCGAGATGTCGGTCAAGGTCTTCAGTCCCAACGTGAACAGCGTGGAGATTGTCCAGCGATCGGAGAAGAAGCGCAGAAGGGCCAGATTGTACTTCTTGAGAGATCGCAAGCACGACCGTCGCAGCGTGGAGAACGTTGTGGCCAGCTATGTGCGCCAGAAAAAGGCTTTCTTGGGTGGCGGCAATCGTCGGCGGTGATTGAGTTAGAGGGCGTCTGGCGTGACCCTCATTTGCATACGGGTGGCTGTATTACTACCTATCATTTTGTACTTCATCTGTGTTTATAAATTGCGATATCAAATTTGAGCTCTTCTATTCTAGCGCCCACGCCATCTCACAACATGTTTCGACACTTGCCGCTTTGCGACTCTTCAGCGGTCTTCCCGGTAATTTTGTCTTCTGTTCTCAACCGCTTGGATGATGACTCGACTTCTGCCTCAAACAAGCAATGAAGGCCTCTATCCTAGGTGGATATTTAAGTTACATACAGGAGTATACCCCCTAATGATGGAACGTCGATTCCATCGAGACTCATATTAGACGTTAATAGTTATGCTATTAGGGAATTCTTATTTTCTCTTAGCATGCCGTCGGCAATTTGATAAAAGCAATTCAGTTCAATCCTTCAATTCCTCTTCAAACATCCGATCCTTCCATACCTGGAAGAAACGCCTCATCTTCACATCTTAATGAGCGAATGTATCACGCCCTTCATCAAAACGAGTATTCTCAGGCCATTACCAGTATCTGGCCCTATTTCCAGATTATCGATTTTCCCATGGAATCTCGCGACTCGAGAGACCTTTTCCCGTCGTTTCCATATATCGAGACTGCCGATGCAGTCTTCAAGTTCACACGGTTGCTGAAGAAGATATCCTTTTCGAGAGACAATTGCTTTCCATCCTGCGAATCAATTAGAACAGCCATTGGCATTGAAGGACACAGCACTTGCAAGGAGGATGTCATGGCTTTTTTTTCGAGGCCCCTATCATCCTGTGCATAGGCCCAGTGGAATACAGCCCCATCCGGCGTGTTCATTGCTTCTGTGAATCCGTCAACCGGGGTTTTAGTACAACGCTCGAGTCTCCTGGGAGAGCTTGCCTGGTTGGGCGTTTGCGATAAAAAAGAATGCGGAGCGCTGCATCTACCGGGCGTTGCCATTTTCTTTCAACGGTCAAGTGAGGGAAGGTGGTTCGACCAAACGTTGCTCTGCATGGTATACCACACCTAGTCTTGTATATGCCTCCACGTTGCGTACAACCAATATCAATGACCCGCGGCAACCAGCCATGTCTCATACACGGACTCTATTTTCTTGTATCTTACCCATAGCCATTCCTCGATATGTGACAGCCGAATGATATCCTGCATACTACACTAGAGTCAATGTCGTCCTGGACCGCACGTTGGTCCTACCACATTTCAAATTTCATTGTGGCTCCTAGCATGAGCTTGTAATTGAGATATTCAAATCATGATGAAGCCTCTACACTGGGAGCATTCTTCTCACTTTCTTTTCTCCGTTTCCTTTATAGCAATATCAAGGGTAATGGGCTGTTCTTTCTCTCCTCCTCTATGGTACTTCCAATAATGTGATGAGCTATACAGGCCCGGATATTCCTCGGTTTGTTTGCTTAATTTCATATTATTCAGAGACACACACAGGAAAAGGATTCGTTGTTAAAGCCCTATATAGAATATGCTAAAACAGCCTAAGGAAGCTAGCAATACTTCTTTTTATACCTGTCTGGTCTTTGGTAGCTGCTATTCCATCGTCGAATCTCACGAATAGGAGTCGCGGCCACTTGCGCAATTGAATTTAGATAAACAACATAAATACTCCAACACTATCCACTCCAACGTCGTATATTCGTAGATTCGTGATCACTAGAGGGAATCTAATACTTAATAGATGTATCGGAAGCTGTTGGAAAGCGTTAGTCCTTGCCCTGGCATATTTGAAGGATAACAGCAAGATAGAAGCCGGACAACACAAAGAGACATACTTCAGATTTTCTCGGTCCGTCAGATCCAAGAAAGCAGTCGCATCCAGATCTCTTCCTTCGAGACCACCCTCCATCTGGGACTGGATGCGATCGCGCTTCTGATTTTCCCAGCGCAGCAGTAGACCAAGGATGCTGATTAAAACGGCTTCAATCAAGTGCGACACAATCATGGACCAGATACCGAGCGCATAGGTAGGTCTATAGTTCCAGTTAATTTCCTAATCTTTGTAATAATAGCAGTATCTCGGAGGAAAAACGCACGATTGATCGGTTTTATAGAAGAACGGCCCAGCAATGTTTCCGGTGCAGTACCCCAGGAAGAGCACAGCGTTGGTGACAACTTTCTTAGTATGGCCTGAATCCACAGTAGTATTAATTTCTGTGATATTTTCAATTGAGCATCAACCGAAGAGAGTTTCACTTACCAGCGGTGTTGGCCATTTGCATGCTCAAAACGAGTACAAATGCGGCATTGTAAGGGCCTGTCAGGTAATAACAAATTAAGCGGCCTACACTGTGTTCGATGGGAACAAAGCGAAGACCAAAGGCGCCGGCAATGTTGGGAATTAGGAAGATAAGAATGAAAAGACATCGTCGATTTTCGAAGCGGTCGTTGAGGTAGACGCATGCCAAAATCGACATAGCAATGATAAAACCATATGGAATCTATGTTCATACCATGTTAGCTGAGGACTATGTGTTATCTAGTTAATCTTACCTGCATAAGAGTGGTCACCAATGTTGAGAACCCAAACCCTTTGATGATGATGGTTCCAAAGTTTGAGATACCACCGTTGGGAATATTGCCTACGTAGACGTCAGTTAATGCAACCGAATTAGATATGGAACAAATCACATACAAACCATGCCAAGAATGAAGAACATGTAGAGCTTGTAATCCATGAAAGCCTCCAAAATCTGATACGGCTTGAGATGTTTATTCTCGACACCAGTCTGGTTTTCTCGTAGACGCTCAACAGCCATGCGGCGCTCTCTCTTGGTAAGACCTTTTGCTGTGACGGGTGAATCTGGGAGGAAGATAAACATGACAATACCCCAGGCGGAACATAGTGCACCACTAAGCAAGGTTAGTGAAATGGGCAAGTTCAACGAGGGCGAGAGGAAATCAACGTACATCACGAGAAACTCGTATTTCCAAGACGGTAGGGCACCTTTAAGATGCCCAATTCCATAACCCAATAACCCACCCAATGCAATACCGAGGCCATTCGCTGTGTACCACAGCCCGAGACGCACTGGCTGTTCACGACGCGTATACCACATGCTCGTGATGAGCATGAAAGCTGGGTCAGCGCAGGCCTCGGCCGCACCACCAAGGGCTCGAAGAACAGCGAGAGTTTCAAAGCTGTTACAGGCAGCTTGGATCATGAGGAACGCACCCCTCGAAAAGGAATGTTAGTATCTAGTTGTAATATCTTCGAGATCAGTTCGACAAACCACATGAAAATATTCGCGCCTAGGTATTTCCCTAAACCAAGTATCAGATAGATATCCAGTCAAATTGTCAGGCGTGTAACGGGAGAAGCATACCGATTGGAAGACGCTGCATCAGAAAATTGGTAGGGAATGCCCATGCTAAGAAACCAAAATAGAATATACTGCTCAGCCAGCTATACCGGGTTCCATGTAGATCAAGATCTTCCCGAATCCCAAAAATAGCAGCATAGCTCAACGTTGTCTGTTTCCAAAAACTTGTGCTATTAGCACAGACTTTCCACTAAAAGGGCTAAAATGGGTGATTAATATTCAATCAAAGAGACTGACCTTATCAATGTAGAAGAATGCGTAGCAAACAGCCAAGTAGGGCAAGATCATGAAGTCGATCTTCCACAATAGCTTTCTCGCTTCCACGGGATCGACATCTTCGTGGAGCTCGTCCGGGTTATCGAATAGCGCCATAGCCGTGTCGCCGTCGGCATTTTTGGCAGACTTAAATTTGGAGTGCTCTTGATTGCTTTCTGCATGGCTGATAGTGGGAACTTCGGCGATATTGGCCTTTGGGCCAACATCTTGTGGAGCATGGTTCGCCATAGTGAAGTTACTATCGTATACAGGAAGCGGAGAAGAAAAATCTATGAAATTGGGCTTTTTGGAAAATATATATAAAACGCAGGACCAATGCCGCGGGATGGGAAGATGATAACAACCTCGGAACGACCCCGAGTCTCCCCCTTGATTCAAGACAATGTAGGGAAGTCTACAAAGAACAGCCGTCTCGTACTTCCCCGCGAATTTCAGAGCTTGCCTGCCTCAAAGGGAATAGTAAAGGACCATCTGCGGGGAAAACCCAGTACGGGGCCCCCACGCGGATAGTCGTATAGCTGATCTGGTCAAAACGTGGGGAAAGTTGGTCTTGGCTGACGAGTAGGGCAGGCTCAAATATAAAACACAGTTCAATTCGTAACAAGTCTGGCTAAACGCCAAAGTTTGCCTAGCACAAAGGCTGTTATTGCGGTCGGTGGAAGTCCGAGGACTCGGGGATTATGCCGCTGGACTGGTCAATTACCAAACCTTGCTATTTACCCCAACCCGTACCTGGGCGATGATGGAGGCTACTACAAAGTCGTCTCATACTAAAGCGGCCAACTTAGGTTTCGCCCAAGCTAGTTTCGCTGCGGCCAAGTTGGTAACGGGAATAGCAATGTGCCGAAATATATACAGATATAGGGAAATAAATAAAACATCACCGAGGCGAAAGCAGAGGGAGAAAGGGGAAAGGCCTGTCTATAAGGTAGTGCCATGGATGAATGACAGCAATAGTTTCGCCTCAGTCAAATATTCTGTAACAATTCTTGAAAAAGGGAAGTCGCCTGCCGATAATAACGTCAAGAAGTCCTCTTTGGCATTTATAATGCCAAGGACCCCCTAAGGCAGGTAAGCTAGGGTTGCCAAGGTGGTGTGAACCTTGCTTTAGTCCATGGGTACATACTGGATTACACTAGTTACAGGCTATCCATATTAATTCTAGATTACTAGCAAGTTCTACAGAACTAGAAATAAGGGTTAGAGGTCGTAGGGCATATAGACACTTTACTATAACTAATCATAGAAGTGCACCATAAGATAACTGCTCAGCGAGGCGACATCACTCTTGGCTTTGACTCTTAAGGACTTGGCAACCTTCCAGGGAATAGGTTGCTTACGAATCTACAGAAGTCGAGACAGTAGGAATCATTGAAACAGGCACCAAGGTATTGTGTATTTATACAGCAGCCTAGTAGTGCTTTTGTGGTTCGCATTGATCTAAGACAGAGAGCGGAACTTATGCCCGGACGGATATAAACGTTGACCCTAGCTTATCCTTCATGTGGTCTTTGGTCATACTCGGCAAACTTGCGTGCCGATATCTTCTTCTCAAACATATGATCCAGCTGCTCAAAGGTCCTGCCTTTGGTCTCTGGCAAGCAGAAATAAGTCCAGATACAGGCAATGACTGAGAATCCACAAAAGATGAAGCCTGTCTTGCCCCGAAGGTTACCTTCGTCAGGGTTTATCATGTAAGGCGTCGTGAGCGTCACGATCAAAGTCCAGAAATTTTGTGTGAAGAAGCCAATGCTGACGCTGTATGACCGCAACCGAGTAGAAGACATCTCTCCGCAGATAACGTATCCAAGAGGTCCAAGGGTGAGATCGTAGAAGAAGTTCCAGACGATAATCAATACGCACTGTCCCATAGCAATGGAGGAGTTGTAACCTGGTACAACGTCGAGAATGCCAATGATGAAGAGAATCGCAGTGAGAATGAGCATGCCAGGGACGAGAGCTCTGCGACCGACGATGTTGATGACCCACCACGAGCAGATGCTCCCTAGAACACCGACTGCAGTCACACCAACGCCCATGTCGAACGATGAAGAGGTAGGGATGCCGGCGACTATAGTTGGAAAAATCTATTAGTGAACAGAGATGACTTGTCAACTTGGGGAGTCTTACTTTGGAAGAAGTACGTCGAGTAGCTGAGCACAAAGTTGACACCACTGAATGAGTTGATAGTCCAAGCGGACATGATGATCAGGGTCCGACGGAGATCAGTTCCTCGGAAACAATCCAGATAGCTAGCAGACGATGTTGATTCCTCTTCTATACGAACTGTTTCTTGGATCTCAACGAGCCAGCTATCGATGCTTCCGCCAGTCTGGAATCGTTCGAGGGATCTTTTGGCCTCGGTATGGTTGCCCCTTTGGACGCACCAATACGGGGATTCAGGGCAGAACCACACGCCAGCGAGAAGGATTGCCGGAAAGATCCACTGAAAAGCAAAGGGGATTCTGTAGGCAAAATTGTCTGGCCGCCCACCGAAAGCCTTGATGAGGCAGTTCGCAAGGAGCTGACCGACGACAACGAAGAGATTGACCATGGCAATGGTGATGCCGCGAAGCACGACAGGGCAGGCCTCAGAACAGTAAGCACACGCGGTGACGAGGAACATGCCGAGTGAGATTCCGTTGATCAATTTTCCAGTAAGGAGGACCCCTCGGGTGGACGCAAAAAACTGTAAGAAGACGGAGCCACTAGAGATGACACATGCGATGGCCAAAGCCATCTTTCTACCTGCATAAGGCGAGATAGGACCGCAGAGCAGATTTCCAACCATTCCGCCAACTATAGCGACCATATTGAAAGCCGCTTGCCATTCTGCCGGAAGGATAGTCGTGCCATCAGCCTGGGTGTATCCAAACACTGCGCGGAACTCGGGAGCGGCAAGGAGGCCTCCGCTGACCTGCATGTCGTAACCCCAGAGGACAGCGGAGAAGCAGAAGAACAGACTGAATAGCAGGGAATTCCGGTAACTTGTTAGGGCGACTTTTAAGCTCATAACAGATCCGGAGACTTCATCAGAGTGCTCAGACTTCTTTATATCGGTGGGATTCATCGTCACTGGAGTAGCCTCCAGGTGGGCAATTTCACCAGATTTATCTTGATCAAGAACCATAATGGAATAGAAAGGAAAAAGGACAAGAGTATCCTAGGTATTTCAAAAGAGATTCGATCAAGATAATTAAAAAGTTCTGCTTCTAGTTAGGTGGGGAAATTCGTAGATTTAATACTCTAGGCTTCTCATACCATGTGCCTACTACCTCCACATTCTTCTGGGCCAGCTTTGGGGTCCTAATTCTCGGCTCCAGGTCATGTTAAGATCTGGGGAAGTGAACTGCCAAGTTCGCTTTGCCGAAGGACGAGTTGAGACACTAACGTTCTCCCCGATACACCCGTCTAGATCCACACGTCCACGTGATAGGATGGGGATTGGACTTTGCAGGGTTTGCATAGTCTCGGCGTCTGAGGCATCAACTTGGTGGCTCCAGGGGAACGACTTCTCTCAAGATAGCAAATATCCATACGCAGGAGAGGAGCGGATGCGGTGGTGTCTTGTATTTAATGATTTCCTGATGCGTCGTTTTGCGACGACTTGAGCCGTGCAGTTTGCGGGTGGGGGCCGGAAGTTGGTGTTTCAGGTCCGAGAGTGGGAACCGTGGAGGTGTATAATTTTGGAAGCAACCTTAAGCAGTAGTCTACAAGGGGAGCAGGGGCCAAGATGGACAGATGTACTGTCGCGGGGATGGTTTGATCGAGGGATTCCCAATTCGTCGTGGTCCCGGATATGGATGGATTCTTGAGGATTGGGGACCTCTAGGCTTGGTTTTTCTCAGAGTTTTTGACTATGTCTGTGTATAGCCCCGTCCGTTGATGACTAGCGTTTCTGAAGAAGAACCATGGGCCAATAATGTATCCAGATCCAGACAGACCGACCCGATCCCGTTGTCGAGGTCTAGCAGTCTGCTCATTCATTGCTTATCCCAGACATAGACCCATGTTTTACCGGGGTTTACCCTTAACGTGCATTCTTGAGAGGCAGCTTCCCGACCGGAGAAAGGGCTTTTCCAACATTCGGGCGGGAGAGACGAAGTGATCATACTCTCGTTCCTCTCAGAACCTATGCCTCCCGCCAGGATAAGTTCGGGGTGCAGCCTTTAAACTGTCGGATTAGATTTAGGTACTGGGAATCGCAGTTCCCTGGCAAAACAACTAGCTACATGCTTGGATGTCGGCTCGAGGACAGAAGCCCGGCAAAGCACAATATCACAGGAAAGGCAGAGACCCCGGTCAGCACGCCTAACGCCCATGACATGGTGCCCCAGCCAGCATGTTCCCGAAGGAATCCAGCGAGAAAAGGCCCGGCAATAGAGCCAGCAGCGTAGGCAGAATTTGAAAGCCCGTACGCAAGTCCCATTGCGCCCTGTTTGCCACAGGAAGCTGGGCTTTCCTGCTCCTTCTCGGAAGCGGCATACGAGCTTTCCGCCAACACAAGCGGGAAGAGTATGCCTATGCAAGTACCAAGCAACAGAAGAAGCCCACACAATAGTATCTTGTGCCCTGTGTCGTTGACGGTTACCAGACGGAGAAGCACACAGACTGGGACGCTTATGATCAGGGCACCTCCCGCCAACATCCGCCGCATATTCGGATACCGGTCATTCACCCAGCCAACTAGAGGACCGAGAAAGCTCGGAATAAGCAGCGGGATGAAGATCAGCCCTTGCGAGGTCTGCGCCCAGCCGTATGTGTCTTGGACAAAAAGCGGCAACACGCTGTCAAAAGCCGACACAATAACTGACACCACCGCGCAAGTCCATAGGACGACGACGACACGCGGAGAGGACAGAAGCTTGCAAACCCCCTTGAGGCCAGCATGGGACTCTCGGGTCACTGGATCATGGCCATCCTGACAGGTTTGTTCCAGCAGTGATCCGTAGTGGAGGGCGATGCCCTGGTTGCTTGACGCCTCGAGTACAGGGAGAAGTTTTGAGACATGCTTCCTCTCGATGATGGCGAGTCGGAGCCCCATGTCCACTCCAATCAAGGCAAACGCCACAATGAAGACGGCATAATAGCCCCCATGTTCGTACACTACGCCCCTCGCTAGAGGACCCGTCAGGTTTCCAAGCGTCATGGCCAGGCTCATGTAGCCCATAGCATGGCCGAGTTGTTCACTGGCCACCGTGTCCGCCAATAAAGCGCATGCGACCGACCATACCGCCGCAGCAGCTGCCCCCTGGAGCAACCGGCCGGTTACCCAGAGGCCAATGGTGGTACCGGCACACAGCAAAGCGGTGCCGGCACCGAGCGTCAGGACGCCGGCCATCATGGGCCACCATCTCGATTGGATTCGGTCCGACAAGTAGCCACAGATCGCTGAAATGAGTGAGCAACCGCTAGTCTGCCTCGTATTGTCTTTAATATTGGCATTTCGATCGGATCTTGGTATTATGCTTGCCTGCTATTCTTTTTCCACGCAAAGGTTGTAAAATGCAGCTAGGTATTTTGTCATGGGTAAAGTAAAGTGATTGTATTGCCGAGGTCATATTGGACTTTGGATCGAAGTCAATGGATGTCCGTACTATATCCTTCATTTTTCCTTGTGCGTCGCGAAACTACTCGTCTTCTGAATCTGGGACATATTGAATGGTCTCATCTCCTATAGAAACCCGACCTTCCAGACTCTCAGGATCCCATATAACCTCCGGTACGACTGCAGGCCTACCTAGCCTTTGTAGGAGCAGGAAAACGCGGAGAATTGGAGCATCAGAGTGGGGTCTAATATATTACGTTCAAGGGGTTTTGCTACCGGACACGCGGGGAGAGGTGCATTTATTACTTCCTCCATTAGTATAATTAATGTAGCTGCGTCCATAACTAAGAGGCCTTACTTGGTTGGGAATTCACCTTCGGGAGCTAGCCCGTTTTTACTTTCTTCTTCTCACTTTCGGCGGGTAAATCGCTTCCTTCTTTCTTAAGAAAAGCAGTGGATTTGGTGGAGCACTGCATCTACGGTCGATGGGACCTACATTCCCTCCCCAAGGATATTAGGATATTGAATATGTTGAATACATCATCCAACTGTATGTGAAGGGTTCAAAAACGTTGTATTGTAATTCCGTGGTAGTTCCTCCTAAGGTCGAATAATCCCCATTGTTTGTCATGAAAATCACCCCCTTTTCTTCTACCTCTCCCGCCCCATCACTCCTCAGATAAGCACACAGTCTATGCAGCAGCACCGGGCTGCAAAAACAGACGTTCCCGCTTGGTTACCAGACCAAGCACTAGAGTTAGTGCACCGGCCACAATAACGAGTATGTATGTCTCGCCCATAGCGTCCACGATAGCCGACTCAACCTTCACTTTCTCCGCAGCGGGTAAAGATGAGACGAGAGTCGATGTACCCGAAATCACGGCCTCGACTTCCTGAATAGATACATTTGGCAGAAGGTGAATGATACTCTTTTGCGACTCGTTCAAGAACACGCTGTTGGCGATAGCCAAAGCAATAGTAGTGCCAACGACCTGCGCACAGGTGATGAATGCCGAGGCACTCGCCACCATATCAAAGGCGACAGAAGCTTGAGCGACCGAGAATGAAGCTTGGAGATACATTCCAGTTCCGAGGCCAGTAAGGGCGCTGTATCCGTAGATATGGCCAGCGCTTGTGTCAACACCAACAGTGTAGAAAAGGCCGCCACCGGTGAGCACGAGAGCACCTCCAATGGTGTACCACGGCATATATAGACCATAAGCAGACATTACGCCACCATTGATACAGATCATGACAATGCAAGGAATGATGAAAGGCAGCAGCCGAACACCGGCGTCAAGCGCACCATCGCCCCGGGTGAACTGGAAGAAGAGTGGAACGAAGTAGACGAGGACGAAACAAGCTGTACCGGCTGCCGCTGTGCAGGCGAAGAGGATGAGCATCGTCCGGGATTTGAAGAACTCTAGTGGCACAATCCGCCGGGTAACGGTGGTACAGATGGTGAAGGCCTGTTGGAGCGCAAGCAAAATGAACAGCACGCCAGAGCAGGCGAACAAGCCGATGATGTTCCCGCTTCCCCAGGCCCAGGTCAAGCCACCAAAAGAGATAGCCATAGCACCGGATAGGAAAGCACCGAGGTTGAGAATACTTCCCAGCCAATCGATCTCACGGACTCGGGCGGCAAGAGGAGCTCCTTTGCGGGGGTCGACGTTCGGGATGAGAAAGAGGTAGACCGGGGCACAGGCCGCTCCAACAACCAAATTGATGTAGAAAGCCCAGCGCCAGCCGACGGAGCTCTGACTGAAACCTCCTCCCACAATCGGGCCGAGGACCATGCCGAGACCCCAAGTCATACCGGTGCTGGCTACATACATTGGCCGCTCTTGAAGTGTGGTGGTAGCAGCCAGAAGTGTGATCACACCAGTGTATAATCCAGATCCACCGACACCACATAGGACGCGGCCCACAATGAGGGCATCCATATTAGGCGCCGATCCGCAAACCGCAGATCCGATCTCGAAGATCGCGACGCTGATGATGTAGGTCCATTTCGTGTTGAATTGGAAGAAGACTTTCCCCCAAAGAAGCACAGTGGCGGATGCACTCATGACCAACCCGACACTGATCCATGATAGCTTATTGACGGCTTGAAAGTCTCGGACGATCTCAGCCTGGATGTTCGCGGTGATGGTGTTGTCTAGTGCGAAGAGGAACGTCGAGCTCAGGATCGACAGCACGACAGCAATCCACTTCCATCCCTTGATGTCGCGAGGGGGAACGTCGAACTCTTTGGGCGGAGTTCCCTTAGCTGTGACCTCGACGCTGTGGGTTTTCTCGATGTCGCTCGAGGATATGTCGTCGTGGTTCTCCATGGTGATTGCGACGGAATTCAAGGGCCGGTTGAAAGAGAAGGGTTTGGATGAAAGCTTCAGGACCTTTTTCCACTGAGAATTTAAATAACTTAAACGAAAAACTCACTCCAAAAATTTGTTTTTCCTGCAGACAATGTTACTTACCGTCGGCGTAATGCGTCGATAGGACCGAGCCAAAACGGTGTGCCCAATCATCCGAGCCAGCGTTTGTCGGGTCTACCCATGTTTTTTCGAACACCCACGATGCATGTTATATGAGTTCAGCCGGTTAGAGAACCCAACGAAGACCCGTAAGATAGGGACGGGAAGATCTCGCGGGTAGTTCTTGCGGGGAAATATTTGAGCCGCCTTCGGAACCCGAAGTCATCGGCGATGCAGGGACCCGTCTCTTAATGCCCGAATCGGGAGAACTCAGATTTCCCTAGGATATAGTTATTTAACACGCTGATTTGTCCATTTTCATCAATCTTTCCCTATCTCACGATTTTCTCAGCAAAGATGGCGCGCAGACCTGCTCGATGCTACCGGTATTGCAAGAACAAGGTTAGTACTCACTCCGACGCCCTCGTTGAAGAACCGCAACTAATATAGCATCAGCCTTACCCCGAGTCACGCTTTAACCGTGGTGTCCCAGATGCTAAAATTCGCATCTTTGATCTGGGACGGAAGAAGGCTTCTGTGGACGACTTCCCGTGCGCCGTGCACTTGGTGTCCAATGAATACGAACAGCTGAGCTCAGAGGCTCTGGAAGCTGCACGTATCTGTGCTAACAAGTTAGTCAACCTGGTTTGACACATTATCTCCATAACACTAACCTTCGTCTTAAAAGGTACCTCGTCAAAGTCGCGGGTAAAGAGACATTTCACATGCGTGTCCGAGTTCACCCTTACCATGTAATCCGAATCAACAAGATGCTGAGTGTCGCTGGTGCGGATCGTTTACAAGCCGGGATGCGAGGCGCATTTGGTAAGCCAGCTGGCAAAGTGGCTCGAGTAAACGTGGGCCAGATTCTGCTCTCCGTGCGAACTGTCGATCGTCATCGTGTGACTGCAGTGGAGGCGCTACGTCGCTCGATGTACAAGTTCCCCGGTCGGCAAAAGGTGATTGTTAGCAAAATGTGGGGGTTCACTCCTTTACCGCGAGCTGAGTATCTGCGGTTGAAGGAAGAAGGGTTGTTGCGGAACGATGGTGCATATGTCCAGTTCTGTCGGCGGAAGGGAGAGGTGGCAGAGAACATGAAGTACTTCCCGCAGGCATATAGTTCCGCTGTGGAGGTGCGGCTATGAACAAGATCTTGGCGCCTAAGGGTTCCAGCGGCCTCCGCGGCGCCCGTCTTGGAACCACCCACGGGCAAGCTGTGTCCTCCGTATTCAGGCTTTGTTTCTAGACGCCGATCTCAGAGAAATATCCACAACTGGGGCAGATGAATCAATGCGCTTCCTCCTAATCTGCATATGGTTGCATTTTGAGGACCTTGGCGTAATCTCTACTGCGATAATAAAGTAACCTTAATTTCAACCGAGCCGGCGCAATGGTGTTCCGGATCTGCAGCCGTCCCCGCTTCCGTGCATGTTCGCCAGACTTTGATGCCAGTGTCTCTTAGTGGTGCTCCTTCGGAAGCTGGAGGCTTGATCTTACGATCCTTGCGTCTCTTGGTCAAGTCTTCGTCGCAAGGCTCGAGATCTAACGGCGGCAATTTCGTACATGTAGGTTGTGCCGGAACTTGGGGCAAGTAAGCGGCTTTCAATCCAAATTCTCTCGTTTCGAGAGTATAGGCCATTGGGCAACCCTGTCCTAGTGTTAAATGGAGGGTCTCGCTCTAGGTGTTTAAACTCTAGACATCAAGGCTTTGGTCCAATTAGGCAACTTCAATGTAATCACCTGACCCCCGTACCCAAGGTCTGTTTTCTTCCACTCTGCCATCCTTTTCTTCTCGAATCCATCCTCCGTCACCTTTGTCTTCGAAGCTATCATTATTCCAGCGCCATGGGTTCCCACCTGTCCCGTTTCCTCGGGCAATCGAACCGCGAGAATGCTCATGATGCTACTATCCATACTCTCGAAAACGTCTATGACAGTTGCGCTGTCTACGTTGGTGCCTCCATTAAGCCTGAATATTATTCCTTGCTGGGGCTTGAATGCACCGACATTGATCTCGGTCAGGCTGTCGTTGGCTCGCGCTTTTTCGAATCTGCGACAAACATCCCCGAACCTCAAATGGAACACCCCGAGACCAAGTCCTATCTCCAATGTCAGACCAAAACTCGCAGCATTTTGAGAAGGGATTGGGACATCACTAGCTCCAAGTCTCAGGCTTACAGCTTGAGCGATCAGTTTCTACAAGCCTTCCAGCGTCTTCGGCGTCAAGACCCGTACGCCGACTCGGAATCCCTAACTCTGTACTAGCTGGATCCCTAGGTAAGTTTTTGATCTTATTATCACAGTCTGATAAAAGCTAAATTTTTGGTATGATAGGGCTGTCTCGCCGTCCGTGATTTCGGACCGATTTAAAGGGGCCATCTTTGAATCTCCTCGGTCAAATCCGGTGCAGGCATGGGTTCAGAAAGGGCATCCACACGTCCTCGTTATGCTGGTTATCGGCGAGGAACCTACCGAGCAAATCACATGCTTCGAGATTTGCGCCCTTGTCGCCGTCATGATCACCAGGCTCTGCGATGAAGAATTCCAGAAGCACAATGTCATTCCCGTAATGGCAGTAAGCGTGCTAGGCAAGATGAAGGTGCGGATTCTCGATTCTCACTACGGCCCTAAGGGCTTAGTTGTCCGTAAGACACGGCTGCTCGACTTCTTTGATGAAAACAATGCCATCCTCAACATGGGTCATATTATGAGACATATGGCTTCTACCGTGAAGGGCGACACAAAACGCCCCAAGAACATCACCAAGGTAAGTAACAGCTAAATTTAATCAACACAAGCCAAGAACTAACGAAGCTATCATAGTTCCAAAAAGCCAATTTACACGACACCGAGATACCCGCGCAAGGAGACCTCCTAGCCCAGGCCCCTAAGCGCACATGGACCTGGGGTCGTCCTCGAGGCAAACGGACCTCGGTGGCAAACGCCTTCGAAGACTTGCCTCCAAACACGGTTCCTCAGCCAAGCGCTCTGAGCGATCGCCCTACTCTAGGTCCTCGGGCTAGCAACGAACTTCTGCCCAAATGTGCTCTTTCCATTCCTCCTCCTCCCCCAGCAAAGGACACTCCCATGACAGATGCCGAGATAGAGAAGCTGTGCAGTTTCCTGCAGGATTACAAATAGCTCCTTTTTTACCCTCTTAATCTTCGTTTCTGTGTTCTAAGCTTCGTATCAAGTAGCCCAATCATAGCTAAATTACTTCGCATTGTCCTTGAGAGTGTGCTGTGGCGCTGTGGCGCTGTTGCCTATAGTAGGGTTCTGTATGACTAGAAGCTCCTGCGTCTTCAGTCTTTCCTTCTTTATGCCTCTCACGAGATTAATTCCATACATTATGCTGTCCATTCATCTCCCTGCATCCGGTAGTATAGATATCTAGCCTCTGAATGAAAGCCTCTGAAGGAAAGCCTCCCAAGGTTTAAGCGTGAGACAAGACGTGTGGGCACTGGAGTAGGTGGAATTGCGTGGATCTACCACTCAGGCTGCATCGGCTTCAGACCTCTCATGTTAGCTCTCAGCACCTCCACCCCCACGATGATCAAGGCAATCTTCTACAGCAAATTCGATACGTAAGAGGGTATATCGGACCCATACAATGCATTGTCAGCTAATAGTGGCAGAGGAAATCAAGTACATAGGTACGAAGCTGTATTCTAAATCGATCAGGCTTGCTTTATCTGAGTGGTTTTATAGACTATGTCTCTACATGTTCTGCGGCTTATCCCGATGCTGTGGGGCACAAGGCAACTTAGAAGGGACCAGCAGCAAGGCCCTAATCAGGTGGTATTCCTTTAGATCCCCAGATCTGCGAGCACGGAGCTTTTCGAGATGGACGAGGAGCCTCTGTAACTATTTGAGGGCGATATGGTCGAATGCTGATTTTGCAGATGGCCGCGGGAGGGAGGTCTTGAGTTTAAGGACATCTGGTTCCCAAAGAGGTCTATGCATGGGAATACTCAAAAAAAAGAAAAAAAAAAAACGGCCAGGGATACTCTAAAACTTCGATCACCATTCAAGCCCATCATTATCACTTCTGCGACAGGGATGGAGGTGAAATGCAGACGTCTGGCTGAAATAACCACTATGGGTTCCGGGCTAACAGGCGCTAGACCCCTCGTCGACTAGTGTGCAGGCGCAATTTTTCTTGGTCGAAAACATTTCTATCAGTCTACCTGTATTCGGTTTAGATCTGAGGAGGCCAACCGACCTCAGAGACATGGCCCCTGGTAGATAAGACAGTCGGGCCCGCGAGCGCAGCCACTTACTCCCTCCATTCCCACACAAACACAAAGTACAAAAAACAAAGCACAAAGAATCACCCTTGCCTTTCTCACTGGACATTCCAAAACGGCTTTTGCTTCCACTCTACCTGTCAAGGATAAAAGACGAAATTCCGTGGAGTGTCATTCATCATCGTGTCGATGTCTCCCTTGAAAGATCACATGCAAATGCATGATTCAAATCAGAACCAGAACCAGAATCAAACGTCCAGCAATAGATCCCAGCCGCGGCCCAAGTTTCGAGCCTCATGCGACCCCTGTGCAGCATCCAAAGTACGCTGCACAAAGGAGCAGAATGGATGTTCGCGCTGTGTTCGAAATGGCCTGAAATGTGTGTATGGCCGATCGCGACGAAAGGGTAAACCACCTTCCAGCAAGAACAGCTGCGCACAAACACATCATAGACACTCACAATTGTCTTCTCCAATTCCCCCTTTTCCCGGGGCTCCTGCCTCGCCTCCTGGTGTTCCAGCTCCTTCGTCATCATGGGCTGCTGGCCAACACCCCGGTCATCACCGACCCAACTACAACTTCAACTGTCCGTGGTATCGGTCGCCTATGTTCCCAACGGCCAGCTACCAGAATCAAACGCTTGATACTGCTATGGCAATGGAACGGGAAAGAAGGACACCAAACAGCTTGACTCCACACCAATCGCTACCAGATGACAATACTGCCTCACACATGCCAGTAGACTCGGGATATATATTATGGCCTAATCTGTCGGGCGCAGATCGCATAGTGACCGATAGCGGCGAAGTTGGTACCCTTCCGAGGAAGGCTGTTCCTGAAGACCATGGCCATTCAGATTATGATGACATGGGGGATGATGGCGAGGAAAGAGATCATGATGAGAGACACGAGGAGGTAGAGGAGCTAGAGGATGCGAATAAAGATCAGCATGAACCATGCATTACAGTGGCATGTCGGGTTCTCTCCTCGCTGTACCAATTCGTGCGCTGCGACTGTGGGAATGGACACGCAAGCAACAGCGGCGGTGCATCCACTTCTCGCGACCAGTGCAAACCCCTCACCCCAGAAGAAGCAGCCCCAACAGGTCATATTGTATTTCGCATGACTCAATCAGCCACGGAGATGGTGTCTCGATTGCTGGATTGCACAGGGAGTGCCTGCGCCCAGGATGCTTCCATGCTTCTGGTTCTAGGCGCGATTCTCTCCAAAATTCTCACTTGGTATCAGGCCCTGTATCAATCTGAGATTGGCAGCCTGCTCCCGTCAGCCCCCTCACTGGCACAACCGAGCGCTAACCCTCCTCGTCCGGCACTCAAATCCTATCATTCGAACAGTAGCCGGACAGGTGATCAGGTTAAGCTCTCGCCACAGGTCGATGGGACGGGAGATTCAATGTATGCTGTCCCATTGACGATTCCATTGAGCATTGTGACATTCAATATCTGCCGCGCCACGGAAACAAAGATGAAGGCTCAGCTGTTATTGTGCCAATTACAAAATTTACACCAGGTATGCCAGGGTCTTGATCGACGGGTCCAGGCTGCTGAGAGTATGCGGGGAGAGAAGAACCTATGGGACGGGTCTAATGCACAGCTCCTAGAGAAGGTGTGCGAATTGCAACGTGCCTTGACAGTGGTCTGTACCCAGGCGCCGCCGAAGTAGAATATTTATACGACTTAATGGATGTATTTATATACAATTATAAACGATAAATTGGATACTAGAAACTAGAACAAAGTAGAACACTTATAGATCAACTTTAATATAGCTACTACCAGTCAAGCGCCTATAGGCTCCGCCGTAAACCGAAACGGTATTATTTCGCCTTACTAGCGGCCCTAGCAGCTTATACGTCTATAAATATAAGTCGAAATACAGACTTTATATCCTAAACCCCCCCCCTCCTAGTGACGGATGGTTCTATAGTGCACTAGATCCTTTAATAACATGCTATAGTATCAATATACCGTTTGTCTCCGCGATCTCCACTAGTTCTAAATCTTCGGTCTAGTTCTATAGGAAGGATCCATCACTCTTTCAGATCTAGCTACGACCACCCATCTTCCTTTAGACCAACTCACCACCGTCCTACGGATAGTCACGAGCGGACTTTTCGATGAGCCCGAGCCGCTCCCTGGAGTTATGCGTCCTTACAGGTCTTGGCACCGGAACGTGTCTCCAGCAACAAAAAGCAGTGACCGCGGATCGAACGCGGGACCTTGAGATAGTTATGTAACTATGCACATTGCACTGTATTAATGTTAGTTTTGGAACGGCAGTTTTGGAAACGAAAATACGAACATCTCACGCTCTGCCGCTGAGCTACCACTGCAAGCGACGGTGCAATTCATGCTGACCGAGTATGAAGGAGTTGTCAGGTGGAGTGAGGAGCTATATTATAAAGAAGAAAACTGAGGGGACAGATCATTTATACATTGTTATTGCTCTGAGAAAATTAGTTTTCTGCCGGGTGTATGGGTCCGGCGGAAGGACAGGAGATGATTCCGCCTTTCAGAAGTTATGGCCTAGCGTTCTTTCTCCATAAGCATTCTGGTCCTTTTCCAGCAGATATTCATGGTTTTCCATCTCGTGGAAGTAAAATCCAGTTTGCATCTCATGCCCGGTCTCTGGTAGTCATCAGGAGTCCTGAAGACCTCACTGTTGCCATTATTGGGATGGTTGGGCAGTTTGTTGCTGTCAAAAACAAAGTACATTTTTGAATTAAATTTAACGAGACTGCGATTTGGATAGGATATTCTACGCAAAGATACTTTAGGGTTAGTCAATTTCTCGACGGGGATTAGCAAGACCATATGTCGCTGCACATGTTTATCGCCGGTTGAAGTTCAAGAAGCGAGACTGTATCAGAATCAATCAGCATCTCAATCACAAATATAAAAAGAGGTAAAGAATATATCCACTTACCGCCAGGAACAAGATGATCAGGTTGGACACAATAAACGCAGCGAAGATGCCAAGATCCCGCCACCGGTTATCAAAGGACATATTGAAGGCCGCGTAAAACTGCTCTCCAACTTTGAACGCACAGTACTTGCAAGCCTGCGCCGCATCGTCGACAATATATCCATTACCACCGCGGTCAAAGAACGGCTTCATATACTCGCCACAGGTGAGATTGTCAGGGGCATTGAAAAGATTCAGCTCCGACTCTGCGCAAACCACATCCCGACCTTGCAGCTCTGTCACGACCATTCCGCCGATCAGACGAGTGAATGGGTCGAGGTCGTACAGCCATGCACGCCAGAAGCCTGGCATCTGCGGCTTGGGGATTGCAACGCCGCAGAATAGAGAGAAGATAATGACGATCGGTGGGTTGAGCTGAGACGCGATGAAGCTGTTCGGGGTCAGGGCTGAGATCATCTGGCCCAGAGTCACGGAGAACATCTCCGTTATGAGAATTATGAGGAATTGGTAACCGGCGCGGTTGGACTCGGTCTGGAATCCCGGTATGTAGTACAAAGGGAGGAAGAAGCAGACGGCGCACAGGAGACTGTAGGGAATTTCCGCGACAACCATTGACAGCGCAAAGGCAAACTGGCTGTAGGTTTTCGATGCAGATTCGCGGTAGAAGATTAGACGCGCCATATCGTACCGCGGTTGAACCATCTGGAGAATGATAGCTGGGAGGACGGTGACGTTGAAAATGACGAAAATGCGGTATTGCAGCGAGGATCGAGAGTCGTCGAGGTTCAAGAATACAAGACCGGTGATGATGGAAATCACAACGTGCGTGTAAAGTCTGGTGAAACCATAGTTCCTTGAGCGCCAGAATGATAGATGTGTTCGCCGACCAACTACCTTGATCTGGTGCCAGAGAGGTGAAGCGTACTCTCTATCCACCTTATACTCGTCATGATTATCGCGAACGGCCTGGGCACGACTTTGCTTGATCTGAATGATTTCCTGTTTGACTTGATCCAGTTCAGGAGAAGTGCGCCAAATATCGCCCCAGTCACGGTCTCCGATCCGACGTGTTTGGCCAGCGCCGATGGCATCAAGCATCCACTCAGCCACATTAGCATCCTCGGGGCAGTCAGCTCCATTACGACGGAAATATTCCAGCAGGATCTTGGAGTCATGGCCAATGTCACCGTGATAGATGCATTCACCTCCTCTTTGGAGTAGGAGGAGACGATCGAAGCTTTCGAAGAGGGCGGCGTTCGGCTGATGAATTGTGCAGAGAATAGCCTGGCCTGCTGCTGCTAGCTTCCGAAGGAAACGAACAATGTTCCATGCAGACTGGCCGTCCAGACCAGAAGTAGGCTCGTCCAAGAATAGAAGCAGCTCAGGCTTTGCCGCCAGTTCGACGCCGATTGTGACTCGCTTCCTTTCTTCGACCGAGAGACCAGTTTCAGGTGTACCGATAATTGCATCTGCCAGATTCTCCAGTTCCAGGAGAGTCAGGATCTCTTCCACGTAAGCGTACTTTTCCGATTGGGGTGTCTCGAATGGCTGGCGCAGATCCGCAGAGAAACGCAGCGCTTCTCGTACAGTCTGCATGTCCTCGTGAACATCAAGTTGCTCCGCGTAAGATGTACCTCTTTGGAACGAGGTGCCTGGAGGTTTGCCATCGACGAAGATATCGCCGGTTACCACACCAATGTTCTTCCTTGCCGCCAAAACGTCCAGCAGCGTTGTCTTTCCTGCACCAGATGCTCCCATGAGTGCAGTCAACTTCCCAGGCTGAACATAGCCGTAAACAGAGTTCAGAAGACGCCGGGTGCCGGAGGGCACAGGTACTTCATAAGAGACATTCTCCCAGGTGAACACAGACTTGGAGGTAATATTGAGGTTTGATCCTGCATCAGACTCCAGAGTTTTTGCCTGTCTGCTTGCTTTCTTCTGCATCAAAGCTTCGTTTAGCTCTTTCCGCTCGGCGTTTTCTTTCTGGTAGAAAGTAATGGTTTTGCCGCCTGCACCGAATTGACGTGTTTCTCCGAAATACAAGTTTGAACCCAGGAAACCAACAATAAGGGCAATCATGATGCCGAAGTTCCGCCAAAGATCACCAGTAAGATAACTAAAGGTTTGTGCAAGGTATCTGGAGCCCGAGATGATTGCCGAACCAGGGTCGCCTCCCGCTAGCGTACAAGCCTGGTACGCAATGTCGGTATAACCAGCTCCACTTGGCACGAGTGAGTCTTTGGTACATGTCAAAGTAAGGTGCCTAAACTCGTTGACCATCAATGCAGCGAATCCAAGACCAAAGGGGTTGATGAAGTATATCCATCGCAACCACACCTGAGCACCAGACCACTGAATAAGATATCCGGACGTCAAAACGAAAAATGTGATAATGACGGATGCGAACTTGATAGCATAATCGAAGTCAGGGCATAGACATCCAACAGTTCGGAAGAACACTGTCATGGTAACATAGCCCTCGAGGATAATCAAAACAAATATAAAGAACGCCCCAGCGTCAAGAACCAGTCCACACATAAAGTACACGATGATACTGAATACGAGGATTCTGGCGATGGCAAACGCAGTGTCCACGATGATCTGTGCAATGAAAAGTGCGCTAGGCCTGTAGAACGTAAATGAGCGGTGCTTGTTAACAATTGAGCGGCCCATCATTGTGGCTGCAAGTTCCGAAAATGCTTGGAAGCCGTTGAACAGCAGACTGATGAACAAAAGACCTCCTCGAGTAAAAGCACCGGCGCTCGTCTTGGGTTGGTTGAGCCATACAGTACCCAAGATGATGGCAATACCAACAGAGGTGACCCAGGAGACAGTCAAAGCAAACTTGTCTTGCCATTTGAGGAGGAACTGCCGTTGCATCAAAGCCCAGGTTTGCAGGTGGAAAGGGATCGAGTATACAGATGAGTCAGAAGTAAACTTGCGCTTTGCCTCTTTGTTGGCGATCTCGAAGTCATCGTAGATTTTCTTTTCCTTCTGAATCTGGTCGCGGTAGGATTTCATTTCCTGGTCTAGAGTTTCATTGAAGACGGATTTGTCAAAGGCTTCGACAAGCGCTTGTGGCGTGGATGGCACATCATCGGCACTTCTTCCATCTTTGAACTCCCTCTCGAAAGGGTCAGTGCATCCTGTCAAGTAGTCGGGAGTGGTCTGACGAGGCTTTTCACGGAAGCCGAGGCCTTCGAAATACGATCTTGCTTCGGATGCAGGACCAAAGAATACTTGGCGGCCATTGTCGATCACAAGGACCTTGTCGAACTGTTTATAGATGTTCTCGGACGCTTGGTAGAGTGACACGAAAGTTGTTGTTTTGTATATGTTGGTCAAAATCCGCAGGGACTTGGCGAAGTCGAGGGCAGTCGAGGCATCCAGACCGCGAGTGCTATTATCCCAAGCCAATACAGTCGCAGAGGTGATCATCATCTCTGCAATCGACACGCGACGCCGCTCACCTATTGTAATTAGATTCAAATCCCATGAAGCTGCACATATAAAACAGTCTGCTTACCTCCAGAGACACCACGAATAAACTGATTTCCAATCACGGTGTTGGCAGTGTGCTCAATATTGAACATCTTCAGGAGCAAATTGGTCACTTTCTCTTTGAACTCAGCTTTCGACACACCAAGTGGGCGCTTTCCAGGGGTCTTCGTGTCGAGGGCGAACCCAAGGGTTTGTTTCACAGTCAAAGTGGGCTGGTGAATATCATCCTCTTGATTGTATACGGCTTCTCCGCGGAATCTTTTGGAGAACGAATCTGAGTCAAAACGGCCATAGAGGACCTCACCATCCACCCCAGTGTATCCAAACCGTTGGTTCGCGATCACTTTGAGGAAGGTCGTACAGCCTGATCCGGGACGGCCAAGGACCAAGACCATCTCACCGGGCCGTGTGAGACCCCGGAAACCTTCCAAGATGTTGTACTCTTGGCCTTTCTTTCTCCACCCGAAGAGGTCAATGAGTGTTCCCGGTAGATTGAGGAAATCGATGATTGCATCTGGGAATGTTTTGATATATGTCTTGACGCCGCCCATTCCACGAACCGTCAGGTTGTCCCAAATCACACCTAGGAAGACAAGTCAGCACTGGTGAGTTCTCCCAATGTGAGGTTCTACCGACCGATATGCTTGTCTTTGATACCAGCTTCTTCGGAGGCGGCACGATCGCCGCGAAGAGTCGTTTCCAGATCCCATGAATCATCCGACGCAGTAGAGCCCTCAGCTTTCTCAATATCTTTACTAGTGGCTCCCTTAGATACTCGTGACTCTTGTCTCGATAATCTCTGAGCTTGGTGTGAGATGCTGGAAAATTGTTTGCTCAGCTCCGAGAAGTCCTTCTCGGCGGTCGTAACATCGACGCCCGTCTGGAACGAGGTATCGGCCGGCGTGTTGGCGATGCGAATTTCTTCCAGCTGGCGTCCATAGCTGTTTGAATCCAGGGTATCCGCATCTGATTTGCTGCTGGTTTCCGCCTTGTCCGACTCGATGTTTGCCATTGCAGATCTTAAGTTGCGGGAGACCTTAAGTTGTGCCGAGCGCCGATCCCGTATGAACTCTCCGGCAAGCACGTCCCCCAAAAGTGTGTTGAATTATTGAATCACTTCCCGGGGAGGTATTAAAAAAAAAAGAAGAGATGTGAACTATCAACGTTAGAACCCCCTGAAACAAAATGTTTAAAGAAAGAAAAAGAAAAGAAGCTAGAAGAAAGCGAAGAAGCTAAGCCCGAATGATCCTTGGCTTAAGTCGGGTAGTATCTCAACGCCTCTTCTACTCCACCAAACCATGAAACTAATTATTTTTTTTTCAGGGATAATGGGAATGGCGGTGTTAGAATTTAGGCGGAAGAAAATGGCGTCCAAGCAAAATCTTCCAAAGCCCAAACAAATGTGGGGGGCAAGCCTCCAGGGACGGCATATTCCGCGGTGGAGTGACCAGATTTGAAGATGCCAAGCAGACGGGCACCTAAACGGGGTTAAAGCGTAAAACCCAGTCGACATGACTCGTGATGACTCGTGGTCACTCTGCAGTTATTATTATAAATTCAATCAGAAAATCTTGTTCTAGAGCAAATGGTTCGGAGTGGTTATCGATCTAGGGTTGTGGAGAGCCAATTAGTGCCCTCCACTTTACGGGGTATAGGCAAAGACAATATATGAACATGGATAGACCCTGAACGGTTTATCGAGGTTGAGAAATCTGGCTCTCAATATCGTGATTAAGATAATATAGATACGAATCATCTACATAATACTCTATACTGTATAGAGTATATACATACATTGCAGTTTAGCATCATCATCATATGCCCTTTAAGGTATATAGATAGTGCATGCTTACATTCAACTTAATAACCTTGCGGTATCTTCTTCACAAAATGAAGAAACAGTAAATTGTAAAATTCTTCCTGGACCCGTTGCTCTGTACGGAGTACACCAGCGCTCATCTGGTTAGCCCCGGGATATCTTCGGGTGGCAGACCGTCATGTCCAAAGCGCCATAAAAGGCCAATATTTCGAGAACGTAGCACATTTATCCTTGGGAGCATCAGTCTACGGAGTAATAAACCAACCGATCGATACATTCATAGGGGAAACACCATGTCTTTATTGGGACCCCACCTGCAGGAGATGCGCCACCTTGCATATTCGGAATTACTAGACCAATCAGTGGCCGTAATATTTCCACGGAATTATCCGCAAATATGTCCATGTATATACTAGATCTTAAGCGGTCGCAATTTTCACAATTGAGGTGCCGCTTTATAGGGATCCTGCTCACTAAGTATTTCACAGCATAGCCTGGATGCTCTAAACTGGCTTAAAGGAAAGACCAAGAAGGAATACTGTGACCACGTGATATGTGGGTCACTTATTATCAATCTCTTCCCAAGGTCCTTGATCGGTGGATATCCACCCCGTACAACATACTAGCGCTAGTGACTAAGAATATATTTAATATTGACAAACCTTCTCGTTTCAATCCCGAAATCCTGAAGGCTCAATGATACAACCTTTCATACTTGCACGAATGTAGACAATTGTGTGACAAAGGGCTTCTTGCAATGGCTCGAAGAACAAGACCGGGACCGGTGCCGAGCTGGATGACACGCAGTGGAATGCGCAATGAGTGACCCGCTGTGTGGCCCCGCGATATAGGGATAATATTATGCGCGGCATGGCAAATGGTTGACGGGCGTTTGCAAGTTGCGAATTGCACAATTCGCGCAGTGGGCACCGAGAGCCGCCAGCATCAGTCGAAGCACTTTACGCACAAATGCCGCAGGAAGGATAAAGTGGGGCGAATAGGACAGAGAAGGAAAACGAGCACCGATTTTGCCATGAAAAGCTGCATTCAACAATTCAACTAATGCCTTGCTCAAATATATATATCTGCTACTGAAATTGTCTATGCATCTATCCCTCTCCCTCTCCCTCCCCTACATCAATCTCGGAGACCTTACCTTCACCCATGCCCGACCGCCAGTTCAAGTTCAATGCTTCAATGCCAGATGGGCTGCTGCGGATGCTCCAGTCCTGTTAAGCAAGCTTTGGAAGCCCTCAGGGGCGAGTCCCTCAGTGCTGCTCTTATATCTCAGACGGCTATAATTTCCGGGGAACTGACATCTTCATTTTGTACGGTGTAAGTGTGAAGAATTCCTCCATTTCAGCGGAAGAGCAGACCTTCTCTGTGGCGGCTGAACCTTCTCTATCTTACGAAACTGTGCTAGAGGCTATTAGGGCGAAGGACAAGAACGTGCGCAGCGGGCAGGCGGACGGAGTTGCTTAGTCTGCCTAAGGCCCTAGGAGGTTGCCGGTCACTCTTGGTTCGCTTAGGGACTTTTGGTACGTAGTAGTACTTGTACTATTGTATAATACTTTCTATCGGTTCAGGCTTCATAGAAACTGGTTATGAAAGACACGTCCGTTTGGGCCCTGTTGGGGCAAGTCTGGGCGTGGTTCTGAGAAGCGTCAACATTATCTGCAGTAGCCTGCTTATGAGAACTAAGGATTTTTGCGAAGTAGAGAATTCAAGAGACTTTACGTACACCATTGGTTTCATCTGCCGACCAAAGTTGTGCCTTCTTGATTCCATTCCAACACAGAGACGACACGCACACTAGCACCATCAAAAATAAAAGAAAGAATCACATGCTTCATCCCGAAACAGTCGTCCCTTAATGGCAGCTGTGATGCCCCTTGCCATGGACCTTTCCCAGCTGATTCACTTGCTCCCAAGCCGACAATCCGACACAGATTGCAATCCGCCACAGCATTCGACGACTGAGTCCCTCGCGCCACACGCCCCAGATAAGGGTCAGAATGGAAATCGCCAGAAAAGCATTTCGCAATTTCTCGATGCCAGCGGTCGCCACCGAACCTGCGAAGAGAAAATCCAGGACAGCCTAGAATCTTAGCACACGCATCCAACAGCCTAGTAACATGGAAAATAACGTACTGGCAGCCAACAACACGAGGATGAAAGCAAGGCAGATCCTTCCGGTAGATAGTTGACGACTAATTGAACGAGTCTTTGTAGACTGGGCCCGTCGCCCTGGTCTGGGTTAGACTTGGACGAGATTTTGTCTGAGGGTTTGTCTGAGGGGCAGTCGCTGCATGACATATTGAATATGTATTATGTAGAAAATCGTATTAGAGAAAATGAAATCGAGATTTGGTGCTGCGCTCTGAGTTTAGGTCCACAGTCCCACAGATATGGGGCTGCGGGATTTTCGCGTCGTCCGAGAATGCCAGAACCCCTGTATACACACTATCGATATTCCCTGCAAACAAGTCAAACACACCAAGAGGCCCTGAAACTTGGAAGGTGCCACTTGTCCATCCTATTCACATGTCCAACATTTGAAGGCCTCGACAGTCTGCTTATTTATTATTTGGCAACCGACAACCCACGAGTGTCAACAGTACAGTGCAGGTGCATGCGAAGAACCTTGGAACTTGTAAGGTCAGTACCCCGCAATGCGGCTCCGTGAACCACCAATCATAGCCAAGACTTTTTTTGGGGGTCCACTTTCAGGTACGGAGTACTAAAGGCGCAGTCCTGCCTCTAAATAAGACGACTTGCCATTTGCATCTTCCAAGACAAAAATGGCCCCACTCAAGATCGTGCTAGATGGCACATCGTCCATCACCCGCCAGCCGGAACGAGCTGCCCTCAGGTTCATCGTCAAGGCGAATGGGAAAACCCGAGAAAGCGTGTCCAAGGAAGTGACTGAGACATCTAATGAGATAAACAGACTTTTCAAAGATCTGGCCCCGAAAACGGAGACCGGCGAAACAATCCAAGGCTCACCAGTGACCTCTTTCTCCTCCACCTCGCTACGAACATGGTCTGAAGTACCGAGCGATAAGTCGGGCAAGCCTCTTCCTACAAAGTACCACGCAACTCTGTCGCTCAATGCACTGTTCCAGGACTTCACCAAGCTTAGCGAAGTGGTTGGAAAGTTGTTTTCTTACCCCAACATCGAGATCCAGTTCCTCGATTGGTGTCTCACGGAGGCGACGCAAAACGCTCTGAGTTCCGAATCCCGTGAGGAGGCAATGCGCGACGCCGTCCGGAAAGCAAACGACTACGCTAGGGTCATTGGACGAGAAGTCGTTGCGGTGGAAATCAGGGAGCCGGCAGGTGGACTACAGTTCGGAATGAACGGTGGGCGATATAATCCATATATGCAGGGCCAGATGACGCAGCAAATGGCGCACCAATACCAACAAAAGATGGCTCGGTCGACCATACCTCCAGCGGTTGGCTCTTCCCCTGCTCCCAACTTGAACTTAGATTCAGGCGCTCCGGCACTTGATTTGAGTCCGCAGTTGATTCGGTATACGAATTATGTGGAAGTTGAATTCCAGGCTGCATATAATTGAGAGGCGTCGTCTTGGATATTTTGAATAATTTTGCACTGGATTTGCTTTGGTGATTTCTAATTCTACTTTCCATAGCTTCATATTAATTACAAGGGAATTGGAAGAATATTGCAAGCAGTGCATTTAGACTTGGACTTGAAGGGTACCGGTGACACCAGTTTCGAGACATCCTGTTCAGGTGCGTGTATAGGTCCTAGATACTCCCTAGGTCACTGTACCTATTTTGTAACCGTTAGGGCCTCTGGTGCTCCAGCCCATGCTCTGTCTTACTAAGTGATCAAAAAGCGGCAAATGATGGGCACTAAAACAGAAAGGGAAAGCCATCTCCTGCGGCCTGAAAATCCGCTGCATAACTATGTATTAATGCCTAAGTCCGGGTCGAGCTGGCACGCCCGCCTGAATCACTTAACAGTGAGCCGTATTCGAGCTGCGCATGGTGTAACGTCCATTTTTACACATTTACTTGCATAGGACTATGTCACAGTTTCGATTCGTGATTCGTGAGTTACTGATTATGCCGCCAAATAACCATAAAATTCCCCGTGCATAAGGGAATGGATGTACTCCACTCTGAGATTCTCGGAGGCTACCGATAGACCAAAGAAAATCGCAGAGCGTCTATGCGGAGATCTCCTTAATCTGCGCCTCGAGTTTCTTCATGTCACCACCAACAACGCGGTTGACCTCCTTGCCATCCTTAAACACCACAAAGGTGGGCATAGCATTCACACCCAGTTCCCGCGCGACACTTTGCAGCTTGTCCACGTCCACCTGGATAAAACGAACATTTTGGTACTGCTCACTCAGCTTGCCGACAATGGGAGCGACGGCCTTGCAGGGTCCACACCAGGTGGCAAAGAAGTCAACCACGACGGGGCCGGAGGAGGTGAGGGCTTTGAAGATGACTTGGCTGTTGGGTGGATATTAGAATTGGATTTCTTGAGCGCAGAATCAAGTATAACTTACTTGTCAATCTCGGTGACCTTTCCGTGAGACATGGTGGCTGCTGAGCTCGAGTTGCGTGACTTAAAGAAGAGGCGGACAGCTTATGAGGGGTTAGTGTTTTGTTGTTTCTGTTGGGTGTGGTCCAAGGCTGTTGTCGGATGAAACTTGAGATCATGGGTTGTGCGTGGGAGTACTTACCAATGTATATGGCAGTGAGAATTAGAACGGTCTTGAGCTCCATCATCAGTTGTCGTTCCCAAGGTCTTTGGTGGAGCGTCGTGTTATTTGGCGTGGCACGTGACCTGGAACTATGCCCTAATAAGAGGCACACGATCACGACATTTGAATGATTGGTCTCGAGGAAGTCTCAGCTGAAAGTGTTTTACTTTGATCAAGCTGAATCTGGGCCTCAGGAATTTGGCGCGTCAAAGCCTCCACCACCGGAAAAGTAGTGTGAGATGTGTTTCCTTTCCCACGTGCCATTCTCATTGATCTAGAGACAAAGCCACATATTTTATACATTCCCCTCAAATTTAACTAGAAGGGAATCTTGTTGTATGTGCCGTAGCGACAACGATAACAAGGGTAATGGACATCAAAAACAGAAGCGGGTCTGGGTCAGCATACCAGAGTGTCTTGATTGCAGGTTTCGCCACGGCGACACATCCCTATGTACTCTCACGGGCCGGACATAAAGGACTTGGTTCTTTTATATTGATCTTTCAGGATCGTGATTCTGTTGTGCATTCTTGTGTAGAGGGCTAAGGGATCTGCCATGGTTCTGAAGCGAGATAAAACACTATACTGAAGGATGATTTTCAAAATATGATGCTCCGAAATCTCGACTTGATATTGGAACACAGCCTGGTGCTTAATATGTGGGACCTAAATTGTTTTAAATACAGGGCAGGAGTAGTCGGCCGCATAAGTCCTTGCTAGAGAGTCCTTTTATTAGATGTCCCTTTTTGGATATTGTTTCCGGCTGCTCAGTTTTGTCAATAGGAAAAAGGCGGGAAGAGGCTTAACATGTGTAGAAATATACGACTGGGAATAAATAACTGTTGATATACCCCATTATCATTGATCTCAATAAGGTCCGATGGTCCTTGACTTCTTGCAAAACTACCTTAGATACAACAACATCGGAAACAATGGAATCTCGAGATATTTTGTTAGACTGCACTATCACAGTAAGATGTGCATATAGCTTTTCGGACACAACATGATGGAAACGATAGAATCTTGTCTCTTGACTCAAATTGGACCTGACCTGACTAGGGCTGGCAGCGCGAGGATCTTGGACTTGGCAATGGTTTCAGTCTGTAATTTCCCGATGGGCTGTAAAAGCATTTATCACATCTGCTGTAGTTCATGATATCTCTGCTTTTTCCATCGGTATCTTGCCTAGGGCTGGGAACTGAAAAGCCTCCGGATTGGTGGACATCATATCTCAATTCTTTCGGGTAAGTTGTGTTGAGTTTATGCAGTTTTGGTGTTCCGTTTGCTGTCTACCCATGAGACCTCTTGCTCTACCAGTCTAGGTAGGGAATTCAGCGAGCCTGGCTAAACTGCTGGTAGCCGGGAACACAGCTTCGGCGGTTCCAATCATCACAATCGTGTGCCTGCACATCGTGGAAAGCTGCAAAGGTTGCGCAGAATGGTGACAGGTCGAGTAAAGTAGGACTGATGCGATTACTGAGAGAGGGTGACGGGTGAGGGAAGAAATCATCTTCGAAACTCCTATACTGTATGGTGTTTGGAGTGACGCGGGCAAAGCTAGTATGATGTAATACATCACCAATTTTGATATCTGCCTTCTCCCAATCCAGAGAGTGTCGAAAGCCTAAACTTCTATGTTCGATCGCCTAGTGAATCGACGGGGTTTCCCCAGATTCGACGCGACCGAAGAGGCTCTTTCTGAAGATAATATTGAATGCTCGAGACGTAAGACACAGGCTTCGAAGGTCTTTCTTGCCGAGAGACTTGCCAATCTATAGAAGGATTTCCGGTGGAAGTCCTAAAAGCGACATCTCTGTAGACCGCATAAGCTTCGGGCATTAACACACGACTGGTCTAAGCCGATGATAGTGAAAAGACACTATAAAGTAATGAGATTAGAAACTCGTAGCATCTATTTTAGAAAGGGGGATCGCTCTCCAAAATACCTAGCTATATCAATAGGCTTCATATTGCCGGAATGTTAAATCCGAGCCACCTTACTCCTAGAAACCCTACTTTTCGTCCTATACCTTGACATTTCTCATGGGCACCCTACAATCTTCGGCCCCACCGTACATGCCCATAGATCCCATGGGCCGGGCACCCGCCCTTGGTGCAGCCCATGGGAGTCCCATGGGACTAAAAAAGATTCCCACGCTAGCATAACCACCCCAAAACGGATGGATAGAATGCTGAGTTATCATAATAACTTACTGTTATTTACACTTGTTTTGTTAGTCCTCTCCTTCAACCATATTGTGCCTATAAGATCAGCTGAATTTTTATGAAATGAACCTGTATTATTAATTTAATATTGTTATGACCTACCTAAGTAAAATTTAAAGTCTAGTGATCTTCTTTGGTGGTGTAAAGAGTAAGTTATGGTAGATAGTGTGTATCATGAGAAAGATATATATTTTCTATCCTATACATCGTTGTAAATGAAATACCTAAAAAAATTAGCATAAAACCATACAATTATGCAAGTCACGAGTTTCTCCATGTTTGCATTGTTTATAGTCCCATGGGAAATGTCAAGGTCCATTGCCTACTATAGTTATTTTCTGGATAAGTCTAATCAAATACGACTAGAAATAAGAACTTAACTATTATTTAAAGTGTTATCCGCGGGCCTACCTAAAAAGGAAGCTTATCATGCTTTACACTTGCTACGCTGAAAGTGTAGGGTGTTTACCCCTCGAGTTTAACGTATATCGCGTTTACTCTTTAAATAACGAGGCCGCGATTTTATAGGAATGTGAGCAATTTAGTTTCTAACTAATCCCTTATTCTCGTATAGCTAGGAATTTTCCGAAGAGTTTTCCGACAGTGTGACAAGGAGTCTAGTTTCTCAAGGTCGGTAGAGGGTTGGACTACGCGGCTAAATAGCAAATTTTGTATAGACAAATAATAGTCAAGCATAAGTGAAATATTATTGATTGAAAAAAAGGATTCAGTTGCCCTTTCAATTGGCCTGAGATCTGGTGTATCTCTGAGAAGTCTTCAATTCCATCCAAGCCTGTCGTAGTAACGCCATATCAATATCCGCGAAATGAGGCCCGATCTGTCTCTGTAGGTCACGAAACTATCGTTTGTTCTTTACATTAAGCCTCTGCCGGGCTTGCAGCTGTTCAAACTATCTGAATGATGCTGGGGCGACTGAGCTTGTGCCTCGGCTCTAGTGAGGGTTCTTCGAGGGCGTACCGCTCATATCCAGAACATATAATCACATTGTCAAAGAAAAAAAATCAAAACATTCCCTAGTTAGGGGGTGGTTCCATATTTTTTAGTGCTTCCCCTATTGCTTGGAATGTGGCAATCTGCCGTTCCTGCTCTTCCTGAGGCAGAGCAGCAAAAGCACTCGTTTCTTCGTCCCAGTTCTTCACACAGTCCACATTCCAATTGCACCTCTCGACCTCTCCAAAGATCGGGTGATAGAATCGTGGGTGACGGTTTGGCCACGCGGATGCATGGTAATGGTGTCTGACCAATGCCGTGCGCGAATTATGGGTGCCCGAGTCCGAATGACCTTGCCCAGCGGCGAACGCTTCAACCGTGAGAACCAGAAACCCCCCGACAACTTTGGACTCTGGTATGTCATGGAACATATTCCATGTGACATCCTTGCCCGTTGTACGGCTCATTTCAGATAGTATTGCGCCTGTAAAGGCAGAAGGCCCGGTGCCTGTGATCACATCATCGAAGTCCAGCTGAAGCTCTGAGATTGGCCTCCCTTGCTTGATGGAGAGCTGATTGAGCCAGTGGAGAATATTCTCTACTAGTCGCATCATCACGGGCTGTCGAGGCTTGCACATGAATGTCCATTGACAGAAGGATTGAGATTTTTGACCTAGTATAGGATGGTCGCGGAAGTGTGGCTCATCGATTTCGATGCCAATAACCATGTCGATCTCGCTCTCATCGTGGCTGCTTGGGATGAATCGCTCAACTGGTCTCAATGCCTCCACGTCTATATCAGCATAGACACCTCCCTCTATGTACAAAACAAGATACCGAAGTAGGTCGGCCTTGATGATCGGAGCCGTTAAAGATCGGTATGTTTTAACGATATCTGGTCGATTCAGCCCAAGGGGTCCGAAGTTTGTTTCGACATAGTCGAGGTCATTCTGGTCGGTCAGAACCTCGTACCTATAGCCCGGGTTTTTAGATATCCAGCTGCGCGCTACCTCGATATCACGCCCGTCGAATTCCAATGGATTCACTTTCCAGATCTGCCAGATTTTCCTGGGAAATTGTTCGCCAATATTGCTTGTCAGCTGAGTAGAGTACGATTGATTCTCGCCCAAGTTGTGCGACGTTCTGGTGACACAAAAGTAGATAAACAGACACAAAGCCACTAAGCCCCCATGTGTGAATCTGCGTGCCTTCTTCGGAAAGAGACTGGGCAACACGAAATTCTTCTCCAGCATGACTGGACCAGTGATGTGATTTAATTCAGTGGCCTCCTGTCTGGGACAAGCATCGAAGTCGAGAAAGGAGAAAGATTGTTAGTACAGGAAGGCAGGGCCTTATTTCACTGATAAGTAGATTACATACAGTACATGTCATCGTAATTAACATGTGGTATTCATTAAGTCTACAATGCATTGCCTCGGGTCACGTTACTCCCTGTCACCTTCGCAGGCTTGTACCTCGTTTGCTAGGCTGTATTGTCGGTACATTCGCGAACGCAATAGTACCTGTCGCTGGCACGGAAATGGTCAAGGGTTGAAGCTTAACTGATTGGATCATTCCTAGAGTAGTAAAACGTCTTCAGCCATTCGGGCGGCGGGGCCAATAGTAGACACCTGATGGGGGCAGTCAACTATGGATTTAGTTCAAAACGCCATTTAGACTTTCGTAGATGTTATCCGGATGGGATGGTACCCACTCACATGCGACCCCAAACCATGTGACATTGCAGGGGTCATACTCCCGAGGTCTGCGTTCAGACCCTGACTTGTGGGGGAATGGAAGAGGGTCGCGAGGATCCGGCTCTAATCAATATGAAACGCAATCTAGCAGCAGGTCTTTATAGGCCTCGGCACGACTGGGCACTGGGGCTCACCCGCTAACAAGGACTACTCACTGTATGCGACCACTGGATTCACATGTTACAGATTTGTACTGAGAGCTGCGTAATTCTCAAGCGGTGAAATTTGGGTTTCTATTGATCTTTTCTTCAAATTTTCAAAGGACTCTCTTAACTTCAATCCACTCGCCCGATGCCTATGCTACACCCCTCAATCGAGAACTCTTCACCTCAGTTGTTGAAGTCAAGCGCAGAGCGAGCCCTCGAGGATGGACAGTGGAAACCAAAGTTTGCCCATATGACACGCTCTCGGCATGGCATGTCACTCTCCTCTTGCATGGTTCCCTTCCTGCCCACATTCCTTACCGGGCGGACAAATAGCGACAACAACGCGAATGAAAAGCAACGGTTACTTAGCAGGCCCACTGCATACCTAGATGGATTGCGAGGTTTTGCGGCTCTACTAGTCTACTGGGGACATCATCAACTTTGGGCCCACGACGGCGGAGGGGTGGGAAATGCCTTCGAGCTGGCCTACGGTTACGACAACAAGTACTATTTCGCATGCCTTCCTGGTATTCGAACATTGTTTTCGGGGGGGCATTTTGCCGTCAGCGTCTTTTTCGTGCTCTCTGGGTACGTTCTTTCAATGAGGCCACTGCTAAGCATCCAGGATGGCGATTACGTTGGACTAGGTAAATGCCTTTCCTCAGCCGTATTTCGCCGATGGTTTCGTCTATATATTCCTGTCATTTGCACCACATTATGCTACATTACATTTTTGCACTTGTTTAAGATCACCGCTGTCCCAGAGCTTCAAGGAAGCTACCGCGCGGAGCTATGGAATTGGTATGCCGAGTTCAAGAATTTCAGTTTCCCTCTCCGAACAGGCGGCGAGCCCTGGTTCACATACAATTTCCATGCTTGGTCTATACCCGTCGAACATCGAGGCTCTCTGGCCGTCTACACCGCCGTTTTCGCCTTTTCAGGATTTCGCCGCAATGCCCGGCTCCTAGGCGAAGTCGCGTTGGCTGTGTACTTTTTGTACGTTGCGGATGGATCACACTATGCTATGTTTATTGCCGGCATGCTTCTGAAAGACCTCGACCTCCTCGCCATACGAAATGATTTGCCCCGCTTCTTTCTCAGACTGGAGCCCTTCAAGGCAGCCATCATGACTGTTCTCTTCTATGCAAGCCTTTATCTTGGAGGGGTCCCCTCACATACGGACAATTTGCAACAATTACGTGACTCACCAGGGTGGTACTTCTTATCCTTCCTAAAGCCACAGGCAGTGTTCGATTACAAGTGGTTCTACCTGTTCTGGGCCGCTGTCTTTCTCGTCGCATGCACATCTCACCTTCAGTGGCTCAAGACATTCTTTACCGCCCCATTCAACCAGTACTTGGGCCGTATTTCGTTTGCATTCTATCTGGTTCACGGACCGGTTCTGTGGACTTTGGGTGACAGGATCTATGCTGCAGTGGGTTTCGTACGCGATTCACACTATGAGAATTGTCCCTGGTGGATTAATCGCCTCCCCTTGCCTAACGTTGGTCCTCTTGGGCTTGAAGTCAACTTTCTCGTCGCGAATCTGGTTCTGTTGCCCTTGACTATCTGGCTGGCAGAGGTCACGACTAGACTAGTTGATGAGCCGGCGGTGAAGTTCTCTCAGTGGATCTACCAAAGGGCGCTCGCTGATTGACAAAACCTGACAACCCTCCGCATGTGTCCATGACCTGCCTGGTTTGTTTTTGAGTGTCTAATGCAAAGCGTCCTTCTAAATGATAAATTGCTGTATAATAAGAGTCTTGCAACCGGAAACGAAAGTCACTGCTAGCCCGGAGCCCGGAGCTCAGGATACCAGTGGATCATAAAATTCTTGTAATGGTATTCGCGAGATTCACCTTAGATTTGGCAGTACTGTTTGCAATATTGAAAATTCTCTGCTGGAAGCAGTTTTCCTATAGTTTTGCAAAGGTATCCGGGCCACTAAGCCATGTTTCGTGATCATGGTGGTAAAGATTGTTAAGAGTTGTGGGAAGAAACTATCACCCCTCAATTCAGTAACTGCCCGTGTCAGTCAAAGCCCCCCTTTTTAGTCAGTGTCAACGACCAATCTCGGCAAGGCTTTCTCTGAAATAAGACTTATAACCTCTTACTGTTACATCCCGTCCACACTCGCCAAACTGAACATGGCCAAAAGAATAGCCACACACCTGATACTTATTGCAGGGCTATTGTCCGCGGTGATCCTCGTCGCCAAATTTCAATCCAACCATCTCGGCTTGCAATCGAGATTTCTGTTTACGGACTATTCCTCGGGTAGTCCATATAGGCAATCACACATTGATGCCGGACAATCCGACATAGCTTGTTCCGGCGTTCATGGCAGCGAAACTTTGTCCCACTGCCGGGATGGACAAGTTACGGACGAGGACCGAAGATATCCTGGATTCGACAAAGACATGTCTCGGACACACCACATAATATACTCGCTATCGAATCCCGATCGAAAGTATTTTAGGATCGACTTCGGAAGAAGATCCGTCATGAATCCCAGTATAATCCCCCATCCTGAGCTGCTTGACACCTGGATCATCACTGCACAACTTCACAAGCCTCCTTCTGCTCGAACTGCCTCAGTCTGGTTCGCTGAACTCGTCTGCAATGCCGCATTTTCGGACGACAAGCGAGTCTTGAGCTGTCTGGAGCCACCACTGCAATTGCCCATCCCTGCGACCTTTGGTGACTCCAGCAAGTGTCTCGGCGATCTTTCGTACTTTAGTCTCAGCGTTGGGCCTCATGATGCAAGGGTGTTCTACGGGCCCGAGATTCCGTACACCATTTACGGCTCCAATTCGTTCTTTACATGCTTCGGACAATGGATATCTGACTTTCGAATCTTGGTGGATTGGGGGATAGACACCATAAATGAGCACGAATTCCGGCAGTACCGTGAGCTTCAACGTCCAATGCCATGGAATGCTGTTGAGAAGAATTGGTTTCTCTTCTGGGATGATTCGGGACAAATGTTCCTACACCATGAAATTGCACCGGCGCGTGTGTTTTCGAAACTCGGGCTAGATGGGTCTGTTGGACCAAACTTGGCGCTGACGACCTCTGCTTCTGACCAAGAATGTCTCAAGAGATTCTTGCCTGAGACGGGAAAGATTCATCAGGCGACAAACTCGCTAGCTATCACTCTATGTGCACGATCTGACCAATTTTGCCAACCTGATGCGACCAATACCTTTGTGCTCTTCATCATCCAACAAAAGACCTTACATGGTCTTCACCCCGTATATGAGCCCTATGTGGTGCTGATGCGGCGTTCGATGCCATGTGAGATCTATGCGGTCTCGTCAAAACCAACCTGGATCTTTGGTCGCAGCATTAGAGCAGAGAAGTCAAATGAAGATTCTTCCACAGGATTACTGGAAGATACCTCCGAGATGCTCTACATGACTAGCATCAGTTGGAAAAGCCACGGCCAAAAGTACCATGGGTTCATTGATGACACACTCTTCTTAGCTTTTGGCAGGGAGGATTCGGACGCTGGCGGTATCGACGTCACGGCGGGGGACCTTCTAGCAGAGTTAGGTACGTGCGCAGGGTTTTGATTTAATTCTCTGATACTGTAACATTTATGCGGGCTTGCATGTTTTATTCTGAATGGACCTAAAGGGTAAATGCGACACCACTTCTAAGATGCGTAGTACGCAGGCGCGTTCGGGCAGGGAAGAATTTAATTTATGGTACTGTACATACTAAGAATTACAGAACGAAGAAAACGACGAAGACAAGGATCCCTTTCAAGGTCCGTACAGTCCCAGAAATCTTCTCCAACCTCTCTTTCTCGTCCTGTCTTCCTCTCTTTCTCTTGCGTAAATCTTGGTCGGTGGGCTGGGTGGCTATGTTGGCGTTGTCTAGCGTACTTTGCCGCATAATTAATTTCTCGCCGTGGAAAGAGTTGGCGTGCTAAAAACATTGTTGTTCATATTTTCACATGCTTTGCTACCAAATTCCCCAAGAGATCCATCGACCGAGGTTCTCAAAGTTCTCAAACCCCCAGACCTGAGCGTATCCCATGAATTTTAGCATATGCTAGAAAGTCTAATTAATTAGGGCTTGCGGGGTTTGGGATGGGCCAATTGAGGCTTTTAAAACTCACTGCCAGAACGCCCTTCCAGCCGTTCGATCTTATTTCGACTAGATATCAGTTGGAAGGAGCTCATTTCGTCGCATCTGGTCAGCTCAGCCCTCTCGGGGAAATGACAAGGACCATGATCGACTACACCGTTGTGGATAAGGAGCGTGCGTGCTTTACTGTCTGCTATCATCAGAATCGGGCAGAAAGCAAACTCTCGCGGAAATCAGCTGTCATCAGGGACAGAATCGCAATGAAGTTAAATGCCATGAGTAGTTTCTCCACGCACGACACTAATCTAATGGCTTCGGACGAAGGGCTTATTTCCCCATTCCTTCCTTCTTTTTTCTTTTTTTCTAGTTCGCTGTTGCCGACGTTGCATCCAATTTCCCCCACACCCGGTTGTAGGAGGCTGGCATAGTGGGATGCTTGTATACTAGTGTATTGATGTCTGTGACAGTCCTACCTGTTTGGTATTTTCTATATAGTCACCCAAAACCTGGAGACGGTAGTCTCACTTGAGACTATGAATATATCTAATGAAGAAATGCGCCTTGGTATTCAAACTCCCACCATTCGATGTTTGGACACTCTATCTAGAATAGGGAAGGTATTAAAATGAGTGTAGCTTGAGATGGCTTGGTAGAGGCAATGAACATTAGGTACCGGCGCCAAATTAAGTATAGCAGACAGCAGTCAAAAAACCATTCTGTTGTTTCTCCACACAACTCTTCAAACAAAGAAGATCATGCTGGCTAACAGGATAGCACTACCAACCATCTGAACTGTTCCGGGTGCAATACCAGAGGCACCGTTGAACTGGGAGGTGCTCTGGGGCGAAGCTGCGTTGATCGTGGACGAAGTCTTGAAGCTTGAGCCGAAACCACCGACCGTGGTAGAATTGGAGCTCCTCGCTGTGGTTGGGATGCCTCCTGCGGCAGTCGTTGTGGGAACCGATGTGTCCACCGCGGGGATAGAGATCGGATGGCCAACACCGGAACACAAGGATTCAACGACGCTGGATACGGCTATAGGGCCTAGTTAGACCGGGCCATACGAAAGGGAATGTGGCTTCTCATACCTTGTCGGTCCGTGATATCACAGGCTTTATTGATGCAGGGCACAATCTCCGCTGCGAGGCCAGGCTTTTGGCAATGGCACGCAAAATCCGTAAGCTCAGAGCAGCCGTCCCCGGCAAGGGTCGAAGTGAAACAGGTAAGCTGGAGAGAAAGAAGAAACAAGCACGGGTTAGTTAGAAACAAGACACTGAGCAGAGACATTGAGCGGACAGGGCGTACAGAGCATTGAGGGATATTGGATAGTTGAGCTCTAGCGATGGCACCGGCGGCGAGCACAACAATAGCAGCAGTAAGGCGCATTTTGGCTATGGTGTAGAACCGAAGAGATGAATAGCCTGGAGTCGGTCTGGCGTGGAGGATATTTAACACGACCAGAACAACGAAGTCTGAATGTATGCACGAGACTAGCTTTATATGATTCAGTTCCAATCCAGGCTCTAGCTCAGGCTAGCGGAATATACCGGTTATTAGAACATCATTCATGTCACATTATTGGTCACATAAGAGTTATCTTGATTTCTCTCCCAAAAGTACAGTCGGCTCGGTTCTCTTACTCCGCTGGTATTTCGATTAGTGTAAACCTTGTTCCTGTTGGTCCTGCAATAATCTGAACTAATGAAATTTAATAATCGAACGAGGCGGGGTCGCAAAGCTTGCACAAAGATGGTTTAGTGTGGAACTAGGGCCAGGACGCCAAGTCATTGAGTTTTTGTAGCCATACCGGACTCAATGACGTTACGCGCACATGTCTTTAATTAAACATAGTGGAGCGAGGCGGGGGTACGGGGTAGCCAAGGGACCATTCACTAGAATTGGTACTCTGAGCGATGGGTGCTAGCTATTATGACTATAAGCTTTCACGAAAACGTTAGCAAGGTCATCTAGAAAAAATCACTTGTTTAGCAGTCTTTTTAACAGACTTTTCAAGCACTCTTTTTCACCTATTCTAATTATATAAATCAAATAAGAGCAAGGCGGCAAAAGGTGACTGAATTATATCGTGGTTGGCGCGATGGACTCTGAAACCTGCCGTACTCATTGAGGTATCTTCCTGCTTCGAAACGCCGACGAGACCAAACTTGTCAGGAAAGGAGAGGAGGTTTTGAAGCGGCGAAGAGAGACAGTAACCTGATTGATCGCAGTTATAGCCCGGAGTACTCATTAACAAACGAAGACAGCCTAGGCTCTTGTGATTCGAATTTTTACGGTCATGCCTGAAACGCATCCTTGTAGGTCAATGGCATTTATCAACTGGCATTTCTCAACTCTATTGGCCGCTGGGAGCGGCTTGATCATCACCAGGCAGGTACAGGTTTTCCTCGCCGCTTTCTCCCCGTGTAAGTGGATGACTCTCCCACTCAAATTCCGCAGTAACAGCTTGGTCACAGCTCGACAAAGAGGTGAGACATTGCAGCCCTTTCCTCTCATTGGCTTTAGTGACAGCACAGTATCCAGAAGGCTGACTGGCAAAGCTTAGAGCGGGAGGTTGCGGCTGTTTTATGCCACTGACGGACGTTTCGGTGGCCTCATCCTCTTCTAGTAGGAAAATGAGCGAATTCAGCTGTATAACAACTTGATCGTAAGATTGAAGTGCATTGTCCCTGTTGAATTTAGGAGGTTCGAGGATTCGAGGATCAATAGCCTTAAGACCTGGAGTCGTTAGCCCCGAGCCGGGTGTGGAACCTGCCTCCGAGAAGTATAGATCCACTAAGCTACTTCTACTACTCGTGCTATACTTGTCATATATACTTAGCCCGGAGTATTGTTCTAGATTCTCCTCGATAGACGGAAGTAAGGCTGGGACGGGGACAAATGATTCTATAGACACGTAGTGCTCACGCTTATAGAACGGAGGTGAGTAGTGATAAAACCTAATTTTCTTAGGATACTCGTCCCCTGGTTCTGTTAAAGAGCATTGTGATTCCACCTTATAAGTGCGCTTGCTTCCGTTGGGTAGCCTTAGGTTTTACCATATGGTTTCCTTTAGCCCGTGCGCGTCGTGTAAGTGATATCGAAGGTCACGCTTATTGTTAAAGGTTTAAGAGTATCCGTATATCGGCTTTCTCTGGAAATGCTGAATTTTAGCTATATGCTGCCCTTTGATGTGTTCCCTTAGGTTGTCATTTCGCAGCTAGTATCGCAAACTGGTTTCTACGGAGATATTCAGGTTTAGGTCCTATAAGCAAAAGGGGCAATAGCCCGGGCGAATAACGGTATGGCGATAGATGACCACTTCATAGTGCTAGATTTGCTATCACTAGAGATAGGCATCGTAATGGTTCCGCTATTGACTTGACAAAAACCATTTTATACATTTATAGCGAAACCGTATCTCCGATTCTGATATTTAAAGGTTAAAAGCTTTCTCGAGCCGGATGTATTCGTGAATGTGGGCACTTCTATCACATTTCCTCAGACTAGTAGAGTTAGCATTACCGCATTATTGAATCGGGGCACTCACCTTATAATATTGTTTCGGTTCTGGAATGCAGCATGCCGGAGCTCCAGCTGGAGATTCCATATACACTCCGCCTTTTGGTCCATACCATCATCGTCAATAGCCATAACCTGAATGCAGCAAGCAACACCCTCCTTCTTTCTACTCAAAATTCGCTTGACATGAATATGGTGCAGAACTCGAAAATAGAGCCTGAATCCAGCTCTGAGAATACGCCCACCAATTCCACTACACAGCACATCAACAAGAGTAATGCTCCCAGCAGCACCGGATCGATGTTACGCCTCTCATTATGGGTCTCGTTTTCCGCATGGATCTTGAATTTTGACAATGGCTATGCCGGCACGGTCCTGATCATGCCTTCTTACAAACACGCATTTGGAAGCTGCGAGCAAGTCCTGGACCCGAACACGTATGCCGACATCCAGCATTGCTCATTGACGCCACTACAACAGTCCCTCATCAGCCTCAACTTCCTGTTCATTGCCATCGGAGGCGGGATTGCGGGCGTGACTGGTCAATACATCGGACGCAGAAGGTCAATCCAAGCTGGGTGTACATTGGCTATTATCGGGGCTGCTGGAATGCTTGGCACCAGCGGGAGTTTTCTTCGCTATATGGTGTGCAGATCGATCAGTGCTGTAGGACTCGGACAGCTGATGGCAGCCAGTGTCACATATGGCTCCGAATGCATCGCTGCCAACAAGCGTGGGCTGTCTCTAGGGTTGTATAACGTCGGACTCGCTGGGGGGAATGCTGCTGCTTTCGCGGTGTGTGCCGGTTCTGCTCGTCTGGAGCCAATCAACGACTGGCAGTGGAAGACACCCATTCTATGCCAAATACCCTTGGGAGTCATTCTCGGTGCTGGTATCTTGATGCTCCCTGAGTCTCCACGCTGGCTCATGGGGCGTGGCCGAGAGGAGGAGGCGCGGAACTCGTTCGGCGTGCTATACAGCCAAAGTCCATATTCGCCGGAAATCACTGCGCAGATTGATGATATCAGAACCAACCTTGCGTACGAGCGTGAAAACCTCAAATCCGTCTCGTTCTTTGATATTTATCGCAGGAAGCATATCGGCCGCACCTTGACATCTGCCGTGATCATGGTTGGACTCGCCATTACTGGTATCCACTTCGTGCAACCGTACGCTACACTGTTTCTCAAAGGAGTTGGCATCAGCGACCCATACTTAATCAATGTTATCATCGGATTGTGCATCCTAGGAGGATCGCTTTTTGGCCCATTCATTGTGGAATACGGCGGAAGGAGAATTGCCATGCTTTCGGGCTACATTGTCATGGCTGTCTGCATGCTCACTCTTTCCTCTGTGAGCACTGCTCTTGGAATGGATGAGACTGCAAAGATAGTGACAGTTGTTCTTCTGTGCTTGTGGGCTTTTGTCTTTGGTGGGACTATTGCTGCGAGTGCTAACCTATCTTCTGTGGAAATGCACAGTGTCTCACTTCGCACCTTTGGACAAGCCAATACAACAGTATTTTATGGCATCTTTGCATTTGGTGCAACATTTTGGACTCCTTACATGTTAGGTGCGGATTATGGGAATATGGGCCCCAACGTCGGCTATTTCTATGCTGGTGTTACCGCCGTCATCGGGATTTCAACCTTCTTGCTTGTGCCAGAGACTGCTGGGATTACGCTGGAGCAGATAGATGAGGGTTTCAATTCAGGAATAAAGGCATGGGAAACGTCGTTGCCCAGAAATAAGGCCATTGCTTCTCAGAAACGAAACATGGCAGGTGGAAACGTCGGAGCTTAATGAATACCGAACTGAGCTCAAATAGCTGGGAATGTCATCTAGATATAATGTACAGACTATGGTATATAATCCAGCACTATTAAGTATTATCGGTGAGACTACATGGTTTCAAACTTGCAACAGAACCCTCGAATGCATAGATGATAAGGAACAATCTATATAGAGTTCAGAGAAGCCAAGTATCAAACATGTGCCTTGAACCGCAATTATGGTCTGGTATATACAAAAGTGCAGCAAATACTTGGACGATATTTTTACCGTGTTTTTCTTTTTTTGTGGTCCTCCTGATCCCATTATGGATGATATTGCATAGCAACAAGGACGTGACCTTCTGGCCCTAAGAGACGCACGCTCTACGTTCTTTCCCTCGACATATGCCTATGTACTTGGAAGAAACGGTAAATTAAATAGAATTTCACCAAATTTAAGATGCATGTGTGAGAATGATATGGGTTATAAGCCTGCACACCAAGACCAAAATACGTCGTAGTTCACGGTATCCGGGCATGGAGAGGCGACAGCGAATTCCGCTACATGCACGCCAGTACATTTTTATTGAAGTTATTTCATCCAAAGATACCTTGGTAGCTGAACCTTGTGAAAACAGCCTTTCTTAGCGTCTCAGAATGGAAAGGACGTTATATTCATGGCAGTTGAACCTTGTAGAATGAGACCATCAGACTTCACTTACCCCGATATAACGATTGCTACTGCCTTTTGTGTGCGCTTTCCAGATGCAAACGAAAGCTTTAAATTGATTCCTCTTATTCCTCTTCTTCCTTTCTCTCTTTCCTCTTACATCCACCGCCGACACTTCTTCGGTCGGAAAAACATACAGTTTTGATCTGAGAGCATCACCCACAGTAAGTTGCTGCATTTCACCTGACAAGACACAACGATCTGCTAACAATATCTTCTTTAAAGTCGCAAAGCTCAGTCATCACGCTCATCTTTCTCCTTCCAATCGTTCCTCATTCTCCGGTTACCATGTATTTCTTTTCCAACCGCCCTCGCGATGCCAGGCGCGACGCCCAGCCTGAACAGCATCAAGTGCCGCCCACTCAGGTTGCTGATTTGCCCAAGACGTCTCCCGCGACTCTTCTAATACCTCGAAGCTGAGGCCAGAGTCTAGCCTCACGGTCTGAGGCAATGAGATTCTTCATGTCTTGCGACCTTTCAAGCTCGATTCGATGCACTCGTGGACATTGATCTTGCGAGCCCCCACCCAGGGGACGCCAACTACAACAAATGGAAGTTCTGGACCCTCGTTGTTGCTGGCTAGCTGTTTAATCAGGTGGATACCTCACTCCAACTCAAAGTGAAGGAACACACAAACGACATCACTTACGCCGACGAGATGTTCAGCACAATCAGGCGTCTAAGCCTATACAACCATTCCAAGTTCCTTGAGCGCGAGTTCAAGAGGTTGGAGGAAATCAAACGTGGGAACTTCGCTTCGCCTGCAGACTCCATCATGGCCTACCAGAACCATTCCGACCGCCTGAAGACAGAGAACCAGGCGCCCTCTTGTGAGTTTGCGCTTGGTCGACTCCTGAACAAGCTGCGCAGAGAAATTTTGGAGGTCCCGTTTATACAAGAGGAGGTCAAGTATTTGGGACGGCCCGTGGACTATCGGCTGTTCATCTACTACTGCAGGGCCTTGGTCGACGAGTCCCGCAAGCCCAGCATCTCGGCTGCTGAGGCTTCCAACATGGGAGACCACGGAGAAGCGAGGGGCCGAAGCCATAGCAGTGGACGCCACATCTCCTACCGCAGCTGGAGACGAAGCACCAAAGGACGTAGCCCCGACACGGGAGTAGGTGCTGTGTTGTGTGCACTGCCGGTGGCCTTGCAACTAATAAGGTCATGAAAATGCGCAGCTGCAATCAGTGGATTCGAATTTCAGGACATTAAGAAAAGAACCAAAAACCCCAAAAAGGGCAGCATTACTACAGATTCCTGGCAGCGTTCAGGCAGGAATAGCAATGGAACCAAGTTGTCTCCCTCATAATTCCCATTCCGTAACGTCAGCATAATTGGAATTTCATGGTCCATGTCGGTAAGTTTGACTAGATAATATGCGAGTGAGAGCCAAAGCTTGCATTTGCTTTATTCCTAGGCCAAGTCGCATTTGAAAGATTGGCTAATTCAATATTTATGACTTGCAGATTAGGAATTAGTCAAATATTTCTGAAGCGCAACGCATAATACCTCGTTTGCGTTATTCTAAAGCAGGTTCTTTACCTGGAGCAACCGTAGTAGATGGTGAAGTCTGTCTCCTTTCTGATTTCCCTTTTTCGTTTCATTCAACACACTAGTGATATTCCGACTGCGGCAATACGGTAGACATACCTAGGGTTAAGGAACTAAGGCGAAAAGAAAAACAGACAAAATAATGTACCAGTTGTCCTTGAATATGCATTGCGGCCCAATGATTTAATCAGTCATGGTGGCCTGCGTGGCGGGGATTTAATCTGAATGTGCGGTCCACGCCTGTCTTTAACACCGCAGCGACGGCAAACGACCAGTAATACTGGCAAGGAACGTGACAGTAGGGAGGAAAGCGCAGGCAGGGAAGATGCTAGTAAATGATGTGCTGCTGACGCTAACCTCGACGCAGACGAATACGAGGCTGAGGCTGATAATGACGCTAATGCTCAGGTGCCCAACCACGCTGACAAAGGCGCTAGTTAATAATGATTCTGGGAGGACTTTGGGATCTAAATATTTTGGACCACAACCAATCTGGCAATAACGAGGCCCCGAAAATATCAAGATGATTGAAAAAGAATCGAAAGGGAAACCGGTCGGGCCGACAATCACATTCGTGACAATCAAGCCGAAGTCGGAGACGAAGCCCAAGCCAAAGCCGGAGGCAAAGAGCAAGTTGGAGACGAAGACGAAGAGCAAGCCGGAGACGAAGAGCAAAGCAAAACCGGACGCAAATTCCAAAGCAAAGCCAGACGCAAAGCCTAAGCCAAAATCGGATGCAAAGCCTAAGCCAAAACCAGAGACGAAGACCAAGCCAGAGACAAAGAACAAGCCCCAACCGGAGACGAAGACAAACCCAAAGCTAGAAGTGAAGACTAAGCCAAAACCAGAGGCAAAGAGCAAGCCAGAGGCAAAGAGCAAGCCAGACACGAAGAGCAAGCCAGACACGAAGTGCAAGCCAGACACGAAGTGCAAGCCAGACACGAAGAGCAAACCGGAGGCAAAGACGAAGACAAAGCCAGAAGCGAAGACAAAAGTCGAGCCGAAAAAAAAGACCAACCCAGCGAAGAACATAACAATCAATCTGGAGACGACAACGAAGATCCAGCTGGGAGCTTAGAAAATTCTAGCCCCAATGACTGGAACCGAGCGGAGGAAGACGAGCCGGTCCCTGTCTAGACGTTTGTCTTGACCTCCTTATTCGCGAAAAGGAGGAAGATAGATACGATTATTTCTTACTGGAGAAGCTGGTCGGCTTTACATATTTCAACTGCAACTACGCCTAAGAGAGGAGAATAGTCCACGAAAACCTGCTTGAGGAGACGAAGATCGAGGAAATCTGTCAGAGAGCAGAGATGACGAGAACGGCTCCGCAGGAAGCGAACAAGTCTGACTGCCCCTGTAAAGAAGGACGTATGATTAAGTTATGAGCAAATTGCTAAGGGTTAACAGGACATATATGTTGTCTTCTCGGCTCCTATTACTTACGTGCTCTGCTTTGTAAAATGTTGAAGGATATATGTCAATCTTAATTGAGGTCCATTGGCGTCTATACTTTTGTTTTCACTTTCTCCATACCATTTACATAGCCACGTAGAGAGAGAGTTAGGGCTATGTTGAGATATAGTCTAGCGATCCCCTTATCCATGGATGGACCCCGTTCGACCCGAGTAAACGTCAGACCGGGATCTGCGCAGGTGGGTCCCCCTTATTCCCTAAACAGGGACCTTATATGGAACCTTATACGGAATGTTATGCTCTAGCGCTGAATAGGTCTAGTGCTAAATAGCTGTATTTTTCCCCCACAATAAACATTTGCATAGAAAGGGGCTTAGGCCGTGGTGAGGTCTCTTTTTTTCGTAATGTTCAGCACGTCTTTGGGTCGGTCTTCTCACTATGGGCAATACCACCAGCATTGCCGCTGGACGTGACTGTCTAGTATCAGCTGTCGGGGGTGCTCATGTCGCGTTCCAAGATGCGCTTCTTTACCAGACTACCGCAGTCGAACCGTACAACTTGAATATCCCGGTGACCCCGGCGGCAGTCACATACCCTCAGTCAGCGGATGAAATCGCTGCTGTAGTTAAATGTGCCTCTGACTATGACTACAAGGTGCAGGCTCGCAGTGGAGGCCATAGCTTTGGCAACTACGGTATGACTTTTATGACAATAGTAGTTCAGCTGTCCCGGGCAAGCAGTCCACTAACTCGTACTTGGCTCTAGGCCTCGGAGGACAAAACGGCGCCATCGTGATCGATATGAAGCACTTCTCGCAATTCTCCATGGACGAGTCGACCTTCGTCGCGACGATCGGTCCCGGAACGACTCTAGGCAACCTCGACACTGAGCTTTACCATGCAGGCAACAGGGCAATGGCACACGGTATTTGTCCGACCATCCGGACAGGTGGCCACCTGACGATGGGCGGATTGGGCCCGACAGCGCGCCAGTGGGGTCTGGCACTTGATCATGTTGAGGAAGTCGAGGTGGTTTTGGCAAACTCGAGCATTGTGCGGGCGTCGGATACTCAGAACCAGGATGTCTTTTTCGCCATCAAAGGTGCTGCTGCTAGCTTCGGGATCGTCACGGAGTTCAAAGTGCGCACGCAGGAGGCACCTGGCCTTGGGGTTCAATATTCGTTCACGTTCAATCTGGGGACTCCTGCTGAGAAGGCGAAACTTGTTAAGGATTGGCAGGCATTTATAGCCCAGGAGAACCTCTCCTGGAAGTTTTACTCGAACATGGTCGTTTTGGATGGTCAGATCATTCTCGAGGGTATTTTCTTCGGCTCGAAAGAGGAGTACGATGGGCTCGACCTGGAGAAGAAATTCCCCACCAGCGAGCCCGGTACCGTGCTAGTTCTGACGGATTGGTTGGGGATGATCGGTCATGGACTGGAAGATACTATTCTGAGACTGGTCGGAGACTCCCCGACCTGGTTTTATGCCAAGTCACTCGGATTCACCCCCAGCACGCTGATCCCTGGTTCAGCTATCGATGACTTCTTCGATTATATCCACAGGTCCAACGCCGGCACTTTGGCCTGGTTTGTCACACTCAGCTTAGAGGGCGGAGCTATCAACGCCGTGCCTGAAGATGCCACAGCATATGGCCACCGCGATGTGCTTTTCTGGGTCCAGATTTTCGTCGCCAACCCGCTTGGTCCGATCTCGGAGACCACATATGATTTTGCCGGTGGCCTTTACGATGTTCTGGCTGAGGCAGTGCCAGAGAGTGCGGGACACGCATATCTCGGATGCCCAGATCCTAACATGGCCGATGCCCAGCGTGCGTACTGGCGAAGCAACCTTCCAAGGTTGGAAGAGCTCAAGCGAGGCTTGGATCCAATGGACACCTTCCACAATCCTCAGGGTGTTCAGGTTATCTCCTGAGATGCCACAGGTCGGCATTTTGTGCATAGTATTTGACTGGATCGACGATGTGTAGTGGAAAGGAACACCATCTACAGGGTCCCACATAGTGCATCTATATTATCCTGAACGCAAGGTAGCCTTTTTCGGTTGCTTCCTCGCGCTATGTCTTGTATCTAGAGTCTACTATAGTTGTTTTCTATATTAATTGTTAATAACGAGATGCCATCGTCGTCTATGTATACGTGGGCCCCCGCATACCCTCAGGACAGAGATCAACAGTGAATTAGAAAGTCGATATTTTGAGTGGTTGGAAAAGAGACATACAGATTATGGCACGTCATAATTTGTGCTAAGTACGGATGATCTCGATTCTGCAATGCCGGGATGCTGACGAATACGTTCGAAACGAGAAGATCTCTAGACACCTTGATTCTTGAGGGAGGGACAAAACCAAACCGAAGGCGACAGAGACAAAGCTAAAGCCAGAAACGAAGACGAAAGTTAAGCGGAATAAAAAGGTATGGAATCTGTCTACAATGGAGATTCTGGATGGAGAAACAAGGCCGAGATTCCTAACCAAAGAGTGGGGGAGAAGAAGAGAGAGGAGCTATCTGACTATCTACATATGTATATACGTAGGTCCTGTCCCATTGATTGCCCTAGACATCTAGGCACCCAACAAAGAGACCAGCCCAGCGAAGAATATAACAACCAATCTGGAGACGACAAAGACGCAGCTTGGAGCCTAGAAGATGCTAGCATCAATAGCTCCAACGGAGAGAAAGAAGATATGGCTGGTGACGATGAAGCTGATACCAAGCATTGCGTTGATGATGAATACTTCAAAGACGATTAACAGGACGAAGCTGGTGATAATGAAGATCATTCTGCCTCCGATAGGGAGGCCATAAGGCTATCAAAGAAGAATAAACCCATACAGGGCACACGCAAGACTAACAGATGGACGTCTTCAATCTGAAGCCGAAATGGCACATTGAACTATCATCATACTGAATCAAATTGTCAGTGTTTTGCTCGTTTCATACTCTTCGTATTCGTTCTTGCGCAACGCAAAGGTTATGTAGAGCTCATGCCTATCCTGGGAAAGGAGAAGGAAATTCGTAATAGTAACTGATGTCAGCCACCTCCTGGAATGGAGTTGGATGATGAAAACTCACTGATGATTAAATATGACCACTTTGGAGGTCTGCGACATTAACCAAGCAACAACTTCACAGCTTTCCTGCATAATTATGCCCTCTGTCCTTACACGTCGCACGCGACTCTTGGCTTCAAGAATTCCGATAATCTTTGGCTTTGCCTCCGACTTCTGTCGTAGGATGCCGTCTGTCTGCGCGCCAAAACCCCCGAGTTTGAACTTTGCTTTGGAATCGGCTCTGTTCAACGCCCACTCTACATTGCAAGGGGTCATTCGAAGTAGCTGCGACAGGAATGTAATTGCCGCGACATTCGGAACAATCTCATCCTCGGCGTCAGGCAGATTTGCTTGGCGACTGTTGTACTCATGGGCCCTTGTATTTTCAACCTGCTGCGCTGATTGTGCTAGGCGAACAGGTCTTTACAGGCGTAAGCGACTTAATAGCCAATTTAATAGTCAATTTCTCCTAGCGATAATAAATTGCCGACTAGGTAACCCCCCGGTTCTCAACTTGACTTTCTGGGGATTGTAAGACCCAGGTCCTCTGAGAGACTCTTTCCATGATACTGTTGTATCTTTCGTTTCTGAAGTACAAGAGGTTGCGCAAAAACAACGGTTCTCGGGACCAATCACCAGAGGCACTCTCATACGAAATTCGAGGGCTCCAGGCCATGTCCTGACGAGGCAGATAGAATTGAAAGATATCTGGAACCTGTCGTTGGTCGACTGCAGATTGAGCCAGGGCTAAGGCTGGTGAAAAAGGGGTCAAGGTCGAGGATCTCGCTGTCTACATCAGCATATTAAGCACAGCCACAATCTAACTTCCTAGGTAGTTACCTGTCACTTCACATGGCTCCATCCTCTCTGTTCCCTTGAGCTCGCCTTTCTGTCATCCTAGCGAACCCCTTCTGGTATACTGGCTCGTACAACAATTATGGCCGAAGCTCCAGCTTACTACTTATCCTTGTATTTTAGGCAGAACTGGGAAGCAATCCAGACGCTGGCGTAATGTCAATGTTCTCCGACTCATATCGTCTTTATCGGAAGCCCAAGTATCGTCAGCTATCTTACCCTGCCTGAACATCCCAGGCGGCTGATTCGAACATACTCTTGGATAACTGGAATTTGAGGGAAAGAGCCTCCGCCACCCCGACCGCTACTGGGTTATATTCAAAGATGCGAAAGCACTGGACTTCTAGTGACTTCCGATACTTTTGCTTTAGGGTCCATTCTCTATGGACTAGGCACCGGAAAGGACAAGCTCCGTATGGCCAATTAAATGAGACTAGTCTAGATGATGCTGAATCTGTTAAGGCACAGATTCGGCGATAAGACGAATTGTGAGATTGAACTACGCCATAAGAAGCAGCAGTTCCAGATGTTACAGGCCATCACTATGAAGATATCATTCTAGGTTGTCGGAGAGTATAATGTGCCAGAGCAAAGGAAGCGCTCGACCTGTATCTACAATCCTGAAATGTGGAATTGGACTGCATGTCAACAACCTGGAACGTGGTGAGCTAATATGGGGCCCCACGCCGGCTGAGATCCGTGATCTATGAAAAATAAGTTAGTGCCCACACTGCGAAAACTTAGATTGGGGAAACGCAATGAGTAATCTGCAATGCCGACTGGCCTTTTTCCGTAAGCGGACAGTGCTAGTCCATTTCTTCTCTAGCAGTGTTTTGTATTTTTTCACTGAGGTTGCATCGAAGTCGTTTTTAGCAACGCCCAATTCATTCCTCAGTTTAGCAGCAGTCCCTGGAAGGTTATTTGCTGACAAATATGCTATAATGGATTTGTGCCTACGTGCATGCTTAGCATCAGGTTGGGAAATCATCACCAGAGCTTGTTCCCCCCCCCGGCATATACATACAGCTCTTCAGATTGACCACGAGTCAGGGCCATGCTTCGTCACAGAGCACCTGCAAGTCTCAGAAATTTGCAGTACACCTTTCAAGATACGGCCACCTATCCAATGTCGGAAGACGAGGAGGCGTGTGCACGACCGGGAAGCTGAGATATTCGATAGTTCAGCTGGCCAGGTTCCTCTCCGCCAAGGGAGTAGTGCGTCAAGCCAAGAAAAGAAAGGCTTTTAAGCAATACCTTAACTTCGAGATGGTTTTACATAATGTCGTTGGACACCTCGTTAGCAGTGGATGAAACCTCGGAGGTCGTACAATACAAAAGGGAGAGCTCGAATTCGGTTTCATTAGCCGTGCCAAGCGTACCAACCCCACTAGTAGCTGGTGCGCCCCACCCCCAGTGGCAGTAAGTTTGGCTGGCCGTAGGCATTGTCGCAGGTGCAGAAGACCGCCTAAGGTGAGCGAGCCTAAAACGGCGTCAAAAGCAGCCGTTTCTGGCCTCCCATTCACCGTCTCATTAGGATGTAGAGTAGGAATACTAAATCAATACAGACATATTATTGCAAGTAATGTAAATCAGAATATCAAAATAAAACCAATTGAACTGAGACAGTTTCAGTCTTCAGGCCCCCGTCTAGCTTGGCGGGTGACTAAGTTGCGGAGCTCCAGGGGATGTTCGGACAATTCACCATTTGTCCCTCTTTCGTCACTTCGTTTCCCCGTCTATGTACGGAAGTTCTCTCACAAAAGAAGAGAGAAAAAGTCTTCAATACATACACCTCATGACAACTCTCCCTTGAGTCTCCCGGTCTGCCCGCACCAACCTCCCGATCCCGTCCCTCTACATTCCAGTTATGGCCGACTCTTCGTCTTCAAGTTTGAAAGGTGAAAACAGATCGCGCCGTTCCTGGACAATATCTGCAGAATCAAGTGCAATCGAGAGCAATGGTCGCTCATCCCAGGATTCCGCCATCGAGAGACCGAAAACGCAGGGCGGAGAAGTAGCAGATCCTAAGGCTGGTCCTACTGGATTCTCAAAGCTCCTCGATGCGCGTCGGAGGCGGAAAGAGAATAAAAGGAAGAATCAAAAACACGCCGATGAACCGGCGGTGCCGACTGTGGTTTTGGAATACGACCTACACGACAGCCGGTCCAACGAGTCTCGGCATGGGACCTCCGCAGCCCCGTCGTTGAAGGCAGAGAGCTCTGCGCCGGAGGGTGAAGGCAATAATCTGTTGACCGATGATTCAGAGCCGGACGGGTAAGCTGAGCAACTGACCTCCTTATTATCTTGGGCTACTCCTAATCCGCTGAGCTTTTTGTTTTCGTTTAGGCCTCCGCCGCTCACCTCCCATAACTCTCAGACCGGATTCTACACCTCGTCCTCCCCATTGTTTAAGACCAAATCGGTGGATGCTGGAAACACGGAAGGCTCTCATGGTGATGCCGAGTCAGCTGCTAGTGGTCCCAGTGCCACTGGGTCAGAATCAAACTCGAGTGGAAGAATATCCCGACGCGCAACATCGGGTATGGCATTGGATGTCCCCACGGACCCAAATGGCAAGAAACGCAGTGCGTCCCCTGGACGACACTTCAAAGGCGCTTTTGGCTCGGACAAGAAAGGTGCCAATGACGACGTTGAGGCTTCATCAACTAAGTCTGGGGGCAACAAAAGCGGGCGGGGTCTGTTCGGATCTAGCCGGCGGAGCAGTCTTTCATCGAAACGAGCACAGGCGGCCCCTGATGATGATGTGCCGCCGTTGCCTGCGCCAATTCGTACTGATCTACCGGACAACAAGCCTCGTTCGCTTGAAGCGAGCCCCATGCCGAACACCCCATCTCAGACTGCTATTCCTGCGCCAGCGACAACTGTAACTCCTCCAACACCAACTGAGCATCGCCCTCTCAGTGCGCAAATACTGTCTAACGATGTTACCGATTCACCCGAGTCTATGCAGTCTGAAAATTCTCAGTCTGCTGGAATCACCACCGTG